AGCTCCCGGCAGCAAAACACCATGGCTCCGAAGGACGAGCAAGTTCCAGAACCACGCCAAAAAACCTCCCAAACGTGTCGTCTGAAATGCTAGAAAAAATGTGCTAGAAAAACAGCAAAAAAGCAGCATAGAAACAGCATAGAAAAACAGCATTTGTCGATTGTCGAGAGATTCTGTCGCCTACGGCTGCTCGCACGACTGGTGGCGGCGGCTGCTGCTGCTGCTGATGCCAGTAAACCAGCTTCGAAAAAAGCAGCTCCCGGCAGCAAAACACCATGGCTCTGAAGGACGAGCAAGGTCCAGAACCACGCCAAAAAACTCCCTAACGTGTCGTCTGAAATCCTAGAAAAACAGCACATTGTCGAGAGATTGTCAAGAGATTCTGTTGCCTGCGGCTGCTCGCAGGACTGGTGGCGACGGTTGCTGCTGCTGATGCCGGTAAAACAGCTTCGAAAAAAGCAGCCCCCGGCAGCAAAACACCATAGCTCTGAAGGACGAGCAAGGTCGAAAGATTCTGTTACCTGCGGCTGCTCGCAGAAGTGGTGGCGGCGGCTGCTGCTGCTGATGCCGGTAAAACAGCTTCGAAAAAAGCAGCTCCCGGCAGCAAAACACCATGGCTCGGAAGGACGAGCAAGGTCCAAAACCACGCGAAAAAACTCCCTAACGTGTCGTCTGGAAATCTAGAAAAATCTAGAAAAACAGCATTTGTCGAGAGATTCTGTTGCCTGCGGCTGCTGCTGCTGATGCCGGTAAAACAGCTTCGAAAAAAGCAGCCCCCGGCAGCAAAACACCATGGCTCTGAAGGACGAGCAAGGTCGAAAGATTCTGTTGCCTGCGTTGCCTGCGGCTGCTCGCAGAACTGGTGGCGGCGGCTGCTGCTGCTGATGCCGGTAAAACAGCTTCGAAAAAAGCAGCTCCCGGCAGCAAAACACCATGGCTCGGAAGGACGAGCAAGGTCCAAAACCACGCGAAAAAACTCCCTAACGTGTCGTCTGGAAATCTAGAAAAACAGCATTTGTCGACAGATTCTGTTGCCTGCGGCTGCTCGCAGAACTGGTGGCGGCGGCTGCTGCTGCTGATGCCGGTAAAACAGCTTCGAAAAAAGCAGCTCCCGGCAGCAAAACACCATGGCTCTGAAGGACGAGCAAGGTCCAGAACCACGCCAAAAAACTCCCTAACGTGTCGTCTGAAATCCTAGAAAAACAGCACATTGTCGAGAGATTGTCAAGAGATTCTGTTGCCTGCGGCTGCTCGCAGGACTGGTGGCGACGGTTGCTGCTGCTGATGCCGGTAAAACAGCTTCGAAAAAAGCAGCCCCCGGCAGCAAAACACCATAGCTCTGAAGGACGAGCAAGGTCGAAAGATTCTGTTACCTGCGGCTGCTCGCAGAACTGGTGGCGGCGGCTGCTGCTGCTGATGCCGGTAAAACAGCTTCGAAAAAAGCAGCTCCCGGCAGCAAAACACCATGGCTCGGAAGGACGAGCAAGGTCCAAAACCACGCGAAAAAACTCCCTAACGTGTCGTCTGGAAATCTAGAAAAATCTAGAAAAACAGCATTTGTCGAGAGATTCTGTTGCCTGCGGCTGCTGCTGCTGATGCCGGTAAAACAGCTTCGAAAAAAGCAGCCCCCGGCAGCAAAACACCATGGCTCTGAAGGACGAGCAAGGTCGAAAGATTCTGTTGCCTGCGTTGCCGGCTGCTCGCAGAACTGGTGGCGGCGGCTGCTGCTGCTGATGCCGGTAAAACAGCTTCGAAAAAAGCAGCTCCCGGCAGCAAAACACCATGGCTCGGAAGGACGAGCAAGGTCCAAAACCACGCGAAAAAACTCCCTAACGTGTCGTCTGGAAATCTAGAAAAACAGCATTTGTCGACAGATTCTGTTGCCTGCGGCTGCTCGCAGAACTGGTGGCGGCGGCTGCTGCTGCTGATGCCGGTAAAACAGCTTCGAAAAAAGCAGCTCCCGGCAGCAAAACACCATGGCTCGGAAGGACGAGCAAGGTCCAAAACCACGCGAAAAAACTCCCTAACGTGTCGTCTGGAAATCTAGAAAAACAGCATTTGTCGACAGATTCTGTTGCCTGCGGCTGCTCGCAGAACTGGTGGCGGCGGCTGCTGCTGCTGATGTCGTTTGAAATCCTGGAAAAACAGCTTTTTTCGAGAGAGTCTGTCGCCTGCAGCTGCTCGCAGGTGGCGGCTGCTGCTGCTGATGCCGGTACAATAGCTTCGAAAAAAGCAGCTCCCGGCAGCAAAACACCATGGCTCCGAAGGACGAGCAAGTTCCAGAACCACGCCAAAAAACCTCCCAAACGTGTCGTCTGAAATGCTAGAAAAAATGTGCTAGAAAAACAGCAAAAAACAGCATAGAAACAGCATAGAAAAACAGCATTTGTCGATTGTCGAGAGATTCTGTCGCCTACGGCTGCTCGCACGACTGGTGGCGGCGGCTGCTGCTGCTGATGCCAGTAAACCAGCTTCGAAAAAAGCAGCTCCCGGCAGCAAAACACCATGGCTCTGAAGGACGAGCAAGGTCCAGAACCACGCCAAAAAACTCCCTAACGTGTCGTCTGGAAATCTAGAAAAACAGCATTTGTCGACAGATTCTGTTGCCTGCGGCTGCTCGCAGAACTGGTGGCGGCGGCTGCTGCTGCTGATGCCGGTAAAACAGCTTCGAAAAAAGCAGCTCCCGGCAGCAAAACACCATGGCTCTGAAGGACGAGCAAGGTCCAGAACCACGCCAAAAAACTCCCTAACGTGTCGTCTGAAATCCTAGAAAAACAGCACATTGTCGAGAGATTGTCAAGAGATTCTGTTGCCTGCGGCTGCTCGCAGGACTGGTGGCGACGGTTGCTGCTGCTGATGCCGGTAAAACAGCTTCGAAAAAAGCAGCCCCCGGCAGCAAAACACCATAGCTCTGAAGGACGAGCAAGGTCGAAAGATTCTGTTACCTGCGGCTGCTCGCAGAACTGGTGGCGGCGGCTGCTGCTGCTGATGCCGGTAAAACAGCTTCGAAAAAAGCAGCTCCCGGCAGCAAAACACCATGGCTCGGAAGGACGAGCAAGGTCCAAAACCACGCGAAAAAACTCCCTAACGTGTCGTCTGGAAATCTAGAAAAATCTAGAAAAACAGCATTTGTCGAGAGATTCTGTTGCCTGCGGCTGCTGCTGCTGATGCCGGTAAAACAGCTTCGAAAAAAGCAGCCCCCGGCAGCAAAACACCATGGCTCTGAAGGACGAGCAAGGTCGAAAGATTCTGTTGCTTGCGGCTGCTCGCAGAACTGGTGGCGGCGGCTGCTGCTGCTGATGCCGGTAAAACAGCTTCGAAAAAAGCAGCTCCCGGCAGCAAAACACCATGGCTCGGAAGGACGAGCAAGGTCCAAAACCACGCGAAAAAACTCCCTAACGTGTCGTCTGGAAATCTAGAAAAACAGCATTTGTCGACAGATTCTGTTGCCTGCGGCTGCTCGCAGAACTGGTGGCGGCGGCTGCTGCTGCTGATGCCGGTAAAACAGCTTCGAAAAAAGCAGCTCCCGGCAGCAAAACACCATGGCTCTGAAGGACGAGCAAGGTCCAGAACCACGCCAAAAAACTCCCTAACGTGTCGTCTGAAATCCTAGAAAAACAGCACATTGTCGAGAGATTGTCAAGAGATTCTGTTGCCTGCGGCTGCTCGCAGGACTGGTGGCGACGGTTGCTGCTGCTGATGCCGGTAAAACAGCTTCGAAAAAAGCAGCCCCCGGCAGCAAAACACCATAGCTCTGAAGGACGAGCAAGGTCGAAAGATTCTGTTACCTGCGGCTGCTCGCAGAAGTGGTGGCGGCGGCTGCTGCTGCTGATGCCGGTAAAACAGCTTCGAAAAAAGCAGCTCCCGGCAGCAAAACACCATGGCTCGGAAGGACGAGCAAGGTCCAAAACCACGCGAAAAAACTCCCTAACGTGTCGTCTGGAAATCTAGAAAAATCTAGAAAAACAGCATTTGTCGAGAGATTCTGTTGCCTGCGGCTGCTGCTGCTGATGCCGGTAAAACAGCTTCGAAAAAAGCAGCCCCCTGGCAGCAAAACACCATGGCTCTGAAGGACGAGCAAGGTCGAAAGATTCTGTTGCCTGCGTTGCCTGCGGCTGCTCGCAGAACTGGTGGCGGCGGCTGCTGCTGCTGATGCCGGTAAAACAGCTTCGAAAAAAGCAGCTCCCGGCAGCAAAACACCATGGCTCGGAAGGACGAGCAAGGTCCAAAACCACGCGAAAAAACTCCCTAATGTGTCGTCTGGAAATCTAGAAAAACAGCATTTGTCGACAGATTCTGTTGCCTGCGGCTGCTCGCAGAACTGGTGGCGGCGGCTGCTGCTGCTGATGCCGGTAAAACAGCTTCGAAAAAAGCAGCTCCCGGCAGCAAAACACCATGGCTCGGAAGGACGAGCAAGGTCCAAAACCACGCGAAAAAACTCCCTAACGAGTCGTCTGGAAATCTAGAAAAACAGCATTTGTCGACAGATTCTGTTGCCTGCGGCTGCTCGCAGAACTGGTGGCGGCGGCTGCTGCTGCTGATGCCGGTAAAACAGCTTCGAAAAAAGCAGCTCCCGGCAGCAAAACACCATCGCTCTGAAGGACGAGCAAGGTCCAGAACCACGCCAAAAAACTCCCTAACGTGTCATCTGAAATCCTAGTCGCGGCACCACTTTTCTAGCTTTATTTCCCGGCGGCCCTCTAGAAAGGAGGATGGAACGCAGACATGCAACACATGCCACGCTGCGAAGGTGCAGCATGCAGTCCGCAAGCGCGCAGCTGCTTCCAGTGCAGCTCGCCTCGAACCTCTCCGGAAAAGATTGCGCCACAGGCAAATTATCCAGGAGACATGGGAAGCAATTGCTCGGAAACGTAGTCGCACCACGATTCCTGTTGAAAAATGCGTTGAAAATACAGCAGGGCCCACTATCTCGCAGAGAAAGCCGGTCTATGAATATATATGTCCTCATTGTGAGACACAGGTCCGTAGTACTGTCACTGATGGACAAGTTGATGCGAAACAACAGCATTGTGGTGTCCGCTTCCGTGTTCGCGGTGGCACAGTGATTCAGAGCTTTTTCACACATCAGTGTCCAGCATGTTTAACAGAAGTGCAAAGCACGAAACGCTTTGGCCGCATACGGGTAGCGCACAAAAAACGAAACGGGAAAAGATGTGGAACAAAATGTTGGCAAGTAGTATGCTCCGGTACCAAAGACACGACTTGATCTAAGAAAATTGCAGCCTAACCCTGAAGCTTATGGACTATCGAGAGCACAGCAGAGGTGGCACATGGTTGTTGTTGTCGCTCCCCCTTGCATCGGCCGGGGTCAGCGAATTATTATTATTCTTTCCTGGCAGCTGTGTCATAAACTCTTTTTCCCTTACGCACTCCCCCTTGCGTCTGCCGGGGTCGGCGGATACCACTGTTTGTACAATGAGACATAGAACCTCGAGGATGCGGCCTCGAACGAACAAATCAGAGCGGGAAGGGCAACCCAAGGAGCCCCACGTACCTCGAGGAGACTCCGGGAAGGCCCCCCCACCGGTAAAACAAAAACCCCGGAGTCAATGAATCGACGTACGTGACCGGTGGGAGGGGGACCCAACAGGGTCCCCCGGCAAAGGGTCATTGTTGTTGTTGTTGTTGTTGTTGTTGTTGTTGTTGTTGTTGTTCTTGTTGTTGTTCTTGTTGTTGTTGTTGTTGTTGTTGTCGTTGTTGTTGTTGTGGTTGTTGTGCTGCTGCTGCTGCTGCTGTTTCTATCTACTGTAGCTGCAGTAGTATAGTAGTAGTCGCAATGTCTTATTCCCTGGCGCGCTCCCCCTTGCGTCTGCCGGGGTCGGCGGATAACGACCTCACAGCGACCTCACTGGAATCATGGTTAGTAAGGGAAATCATCCCCAAATGGCCCAACTATTCAGGTTAGTGAAATATTATACCCAGATCATATGTATTTGTGGGGTTTATCCCATTGAATCAACATCTTCAATGATGGGGATTCCGAGATTGAATCAACCATCATTGATGATTATGTTGAAAACTCCAAGGGCGTATTTTCCTTAATTCTCTGTATTTGTTGGTGCCATTCTCCTTGTTGGAAGCTGTCGTTTTTGGCCTTTGCTGGCTTTCAACCCCCCTTGTGTTGCGGTTGCGTGCGCCCATACATGATACCCTCTGATAATTCAACCTATGGACAATTAACAGACAAAAAAGAGCAAACCCTCGAAGTATTTTTGGGCCATCCAGAGCTATGAAACAAATCACCAGAGGGGAAATCACGATAAACCTACAGATATCTCAGATGCCCACATTTTACCCATAGAACATGGATACAAGAAATACTTTGAATATAGATGTAATGGACAATAGATAAACATCATAATGAACGATAAACACTATATCCAGTTTCAATTCTGCGTAGCGTTGGTAATGCTGTTGGGCTGTCGATGAGTCATGGCACTCAGGTAGCCCAGTTTCGGGGCCCGCCTGGGTAGCTCAGGGGCTTCAGGGGCCATCGCTCAACGGCAGATGTACTGTGTGTACTGGGGTAGGTGCCCAGTTGGGGTTGTTAAGTACAATAAGTACAACTATGGGATAAGAATGGTTAATAATGGTTAATAATGATTTTATGTATGGTTAATGATGGTTATATAATACTGATTTTATGTATGGTTAATGATGGTTAATCATGATTTTATTTATGATTAATGATGTTAATATTAATAATTGATGTTTTTATTTATGGTTAATGATGGTTAATAATGATTTTTATTTATGATTAATGATGGTTAATAATGATTTTATTTATGATTAATGATGGTTCATAATGATTTTATTTATGATTAATGATGGTTAATAATGATTTTATTTATGGTTAATGATGGTTAATATTTTTTAAATGATTATTGATGGTTCATAATGGTTTAAACAAAATGTACAGCTATAGCAATACGTTCCATAGTCAAGTTGGGATCTAATGTCTCCATATAGTTATGGCGAACTCTAAGCCGCAGATATTCGTGGAGCTGCAACCGTTTTGGTCCCGGGAAAGATCGGGATCTCACCAGCGTAAACTGGTCACTGGCGATTGAAAATGCTTCAGCTGTTGCGAAATGTTTTTTTGTTGAAGTATAATTCCCTTACATAGGCCTTATATAGGCCTTATATATGGTAGGTACCTCCATTTTAGGATCCTGAAATGGCCATTGACTAAAGACTTGGTGCTTTCTGAAGGGTACGGTAAGAAAGATTGGCCACATTTCGAAATGGAACCCTCCAAAGCCTCCAAAGCTGATGTTGGCATTTTCTCGAGTCAACTGATATTAACATCTTAGACCATCTATTGATTACCCAACGTTCTTATCCCCGGATGGGATTCGGATGACTATAAACCCATAAAGTCGCAATGTTTCGATGCCAAGACGATTCTGCACAGTGGGACTGACCTTGAGGGATCATAGCTGAGTGTAAAACATTATCCGGGGATCTAGAAAGCATCAAGTTCCAATATGTGGGAAGGATCTTACAAAAACATACGTTGAACTGCAAGAACAAATCCAATCCTCAGATATGTTTTATGTTGGTACATAAGCTCATTAAACTATAGAACGCTATGGATATATCCAGCAGTTTTACCTCAGTGGGCCTAACATGGCTTTGGTTGGTGGTTTCAGCCACATCTTCAACATCTTCAACCCTAGAAATCGTGGTTTCTCAAAATGAAGGACTCCCTTTTTTGGGTCGTCACCATAGGTTTTAGTTCAATGGATGGTCACGACTTGGTTAGTTCTAACTGTTTTTTTCACTTCAGGGGAGGATATTTTTCCATTTTTGGGAGAATGATCCCAAGTTTCTATGTGGTGGAAACTTGGCTAAATCCACCAGTATTTTACCAGGCGACCTGTGAGCCTGTGAGGATGATCTATAACTAGTTAGATGTGGTACCCTCTGGTGGGGTACCCTCTGGTAATTTAACGTAGCTATTGAAAATGGCCATTTATAGTTGATTTACCCATTAAAAATGGTGATTTTCCATAGTTATGTTAGTTTACCAGAGGGTAACGATGAAGCAACGAATTAATTTTAACGTAATTCACCGAAGGGTTCAAAAGTTTGGATCAGACCCACAAAAGTATACAAAAGTCAGTTTTGGATGGAAAACTGTTATAAAACTGTATCTGATTGTTGGTTATACAGTTATAGCATTTTGGTTTCCATATACATCCCAATTTCAGATACCACATCCGAAATCCCATGGAATCCATCCAAATTCCCAGAACTCATCCCATTACCCAGAACTCCCGACCTGGAAATCCCATTGATATCCCACGTGATATCAGATCCCATTAAAAAAACAATGACATCCCGATTAAAACGCCATTAAAATTAACGTATAATTTATCTCATCAAAAAATCCATTGAACTTCACATAAGAGTCACATTAAAATCTCTTATCTCAAGTCTCAAGAAGAAAAAAGCATATAGAAATCCCATAAAGTCACCATGAGTCACAGAGAAATCCCATAGAAATCCCCATTTTGTAGATCCCGAGGCCCAAGACGCAGCGTCGGCGCGCAACAAAAAGCGCCTTGCAACGCCTACAGGAGGCGTTGCAGGAGTTGTCTAAGGAGGAGCGATGCTCGGCGTTGGACTTGTGGGGATGAACAGTGGGGGATTTTTGGTGGATCTTAGATGGATTTCATGAGTTTTGATGAGATTTCACGATGATTTTAGATGGATTTTGTAGGATTCACCTAGATTTGTTTAATGAATTTCATGGGTTTTGATGAGATTTGATTGTGATTTTAGGTGATGGGATTGCATGAGGTTTTTAATGAGAATTTACCGGGATTTAGTGGTGATTTATGTGGAATTCATGGGATTCAAGATGATTCAAGGATGGTTTGTGGGATTTCAGGGGATTGAATTAGGATTTCACTAGGATTTTATGAGGATCTAATGGGTTTTCCAATGTAATGATGTTGTTTTTCCCAAAAGCATCTCCGATGCTTGGGTTCTCGATGGTTCTCGTTTAGTTTACTTCGCCGCGGGGGGAGCGACACGGAAGCGACGACAGGGTGGACGGAGGGGAAGCCGTGGGAAATAGCTTGGGGAGAGCTCCGTTGGGAGGGAGCGATATAGTGAGAATCTAGAGCTGTTGGCACGGGTTTTTCAGGACAAATTTCATCAATACGATTGTTCCGAAAAACTGGTGCCAAAGACTTCTCAAACGGTGTCTAAGTGCTGAGCAAAGGGAAATTCCGGACACGCATGGGAAAAAGTTCTTTGCTGCAGGCTGGAGGGGTTTTCATTTTGCACGGCGTTCTGTCCGTCGATGCTTGGTTTTCGCTCCCTGTGTAGCGAAGAACCCAAGCATAGGATATGCATCAGCGTGAACGGACAGGGGGGGAAATAGCTTGAGAAGAGCTCTGCTGGAAGGGAGTGGCACTGAAAATTCGGAGCTGTTGGCACGGGTTTTACATTTACACAGAGGAGCTTTACACGGAGGATCTTTTACATAGAGAAGCTTGTACACAGGGAGGACTTTACACACAGAGTCTTTTACACAGAGAAACTTTTACACAGGAAAGGTTTTACACACAAAAATTTTTACACAGAGAAATCTTTATACAGAGTAGAGTAGTCTAGACACAGAGAAGCTTGCACACACAGAGGCTTTTACACAGAGAAGCCTTTTACACAGAGCAGCTTTTACACAGAGCGGCTTTTACACGGAAAAGCTTGTACACGCAGAGGCTTTGACACATAGAAGTCTTTACACCGAGGAGCTTTTACACAGAGAAGCTTGTACACACACAGAGGTGCTTTTACATTTTTTTGCAAGCAGACGCTTTTACACAAAGATTTCTTTAATGCAGAGCAGCTTTGACACACAGAAACGTTTACACGCAGAGAAGCTTTTCACACAGAAGCTTTTACACACAGAAGCTTTTACACGGGAAAACCTTTACACAGAGAAGCTCTTACACACAGAAAATTTGCACAAAAAAGCGTTTACACAGAAACTTCTACGCACAGAAACTTTTACACACAGACGCGTTTACACAGGAGCGTTTACACACGGATGCGTTTACACACAGAAGCCTCCACGCACAGAAGCTTTTACGCAGAGTAGCTTTTACACAGAGAAGTCATGAAGTCTTTACACAGAGAAGTCTTGACACAGACAAGCTTGTACACACAGAGGCTTTTACAGAGGGAAGTCTTTTACACAGAGAAGTCTTTACACAGAGGAGCTTTTACACAGAGAAGTTTTTCTTAGATTTACACACAGACGCGTTTACACACAGGAAGTTTTACACAAAGAAGCGTTTATGGCGCACTGAAACTTTTACACAGAGCAGCTTTTACACACAGAAGCTTTTACACAAAAAACCTTTACACAGAGAAGTTTTTACACACAGAGGCTTTTGCGCAAGGAAGCTTTTACACAGGAAAGCTTTTACACACAGAAGCTTTTACACAGATTTTTTTTCACCGAGAAGTCTTACACAGAGGAGCTTTTACGCACAGACGGGTTTGCACAGATAAGTCTTTACACAGAGGAGTTTTTGCACACAAAGTTTTTGCACACAAAAAACGTTTACGCACAGAGGAGCTTTACACAGAAGCTTTGGAAGCTTCTTCAGGGGGAAGTCTTTACACAGAAAAGCTCCTACACACAGAAGCTTTTACACACATAAGTTTTTACACAAAAAAAACCTGTACACAGAAACTTTGACACACACACACACGTTTACACAGAGGAGTCTTGACACAAGGACGCGTTTACACACAGAAGCCTTTACGCACAGAAGCTTTTTTGCACAAAGTAAATTTTACACAGAGAAGTCTTTACACAGAGAAGTCTTGACACAGAGAAGCCTGTACACACAGAGGCTTTTACAGAGAGAAGCCTTTTATACAGAGAAGTCTTGACACACAGGCACGCAGAAGCTTTTACACACAGACACGTTTACACATAGAAGGCCCTACAAATAGAGGCTCTTACGGCGCACAGAAACTTTTACACAGAGCAGCTTTTACACACAGGAGCTTTTGCACAAGGAAACTTTTACACAGGAAAGCTTTTACACACAGAAGCTTTTTACACCGAGAAGTCTTACAGAGAGGAGCTTTTACGCACAGACGCGTTTACACAGAGAAGCCTTTATAGAGAGGAGTTTTTGCACACAGAAGCCTTTTACGCACAGAACCGTTTGCACAGAGTAGCTTTTACACAGAGAAGTCTTACACAGAGAAGCTTTTACGCACAGACGTGTTTACACAGAGAAGTCTTTACAGAGAGGAGCCTTTACGCACAGACGCGTTTACACAGAGGAGCTTTTGCACACAGAATCTTGTACACACAGACACATTCACACACACACAGAAGGTTTTACAAACAGACAGCTTTGTTACGGCGCACAGAACTTTTACATAGAGCAGCTTTACGCAGCGAAGCTTGTACACACAGAGGAGCTTTTATAGACAGAAGTTTTTACACAAAGAATTTGTTTAATACACAGAAGCTTTTACACACAGAAACTTTACACACAGAAGCTTTTACACACAGAAGCTTTTGCACAGAGCAGTTTCTACACAGAGAAATCTTACACAAAGAAGTCTTGACACAGAGAAGCTTGCACACACAGAGACTTTTACACAGAGAAGCCTTTTACACAGAGCAGTTTTTTCACAGAGGAGCTTTTACACAGAGGAACTTTTGCACAGAGAAGCTTGTACACCCAAAGGCTTTGACACGGAGAAGCCTTTTACACAGAGAAGCTTTTACACACAGAATCTTTTACCCACAGAAGCTTTTACACAAAAAAACCTTCACACAGAGAAGTTTTTTACACAGAAGCTTTTACATACAGAAGCTTTTACGCAAAGAAACTTTTACACACAGAGGACGCTTTACACAGAAGCTTTTACACACAGAAGTTTTTTCAGAAAAAACCTTTACACAGAAGAATTTTTGCACAAAGAACTTGTACGCACAGACGCGTTCACACACAGTAGCTTTTACGCATAGAAGCTTTTGCGCAGAGAAGTCTTTACCCATCTTTCATCATGTCTCATTTTTCATGATCATTCACCAGCTGTCATCTTTATATCTTCGTTTTCATGCTCTTTTGGTCAACTCCCTCCGTCGTTCAGTTTTCATTTCGCACGGTGTTCTGTCTGTCCACGCTTCGTCCTCGCTCCCTCTGCGGCGAAGCAAGCTAAACAAGAAGCCGGGAATAAATAGCGACTTGAAAGATGGGATAGAGTTAATTACATTAGCAGAAATAGCGACTAGAAGAATATAGACGTAGCTGACACAGCATGCTGTGGTGAATTCTTGGCCCCTGATACCATCAGTACGCACAATGTTTCAGTAAAGATCTTACGTCGATTTTGTGCAGCGCACAGCTGCCCACACCATAAGATTTTTTAAAAAAGGCGTGCTGCGTGCCGTCTTGCTTTTGGGTTCTCTGGTCCACCTGGTTTCTAATGGGGATGAAGATGGGGTTATGTGAAGATATAGTGTAGTTAATGGGTATGAAGAAGGGATCAAGCTATATTGTGGGGAGATTTCACAACATCAGCAACGGTTTTTTGAAGGTTTTTGTGCAGAGAGGCATTTGTTCTCAAAGATTTATCAGCCCAATGGGATGTTTTCACGTCTTGTTCGATGATTTACTACCAACAATGGTGAAACTCTTGCTTCGTTGAGCCTTCCTTTGAGCATGATTGACGCTGATTGATTGATAGCCAATGTGGAGAGGCACCAAGAAAAACAATCTATTTCCCTTTCGGTAATTTTCAAGATCGGTATTTCCCTAGACTGCTAGACCAATGGGTTTGACAGTCCCCATCAAGAAACCCGTAGGTCCTAGGTGCCCTCAACATAGCTTGTCAGCAGCATCAAAATTGCATCACCCCCCCTAGAAATCAAGACAGTCCTAGAACCCCGATGTTTTTCCAGGATTTCAACCATTGAAAAAAAAACATCAACGTGTCATCCCAACATTTTCCTCAGATCTCCGGGGATCCAATCAAAAATCGACGACCAAGGCTATGACACCCTCCAAGCCTTGCCGCCTGCGGTGAAAGCGGCGCTGCTGAGCCACATGGAACGGGCCAAGTTCTGTGGCACTGCTGGCGCCGCGACCGATGCCTCCCTGAGCCGCGGTGGCAGCGGTGGCAGCGTTGCGCCGCTGCGGCGCCAGAGGAATGGCCGCAGTGGCCGCAGCGTGACGGTGCAACGGAAGAGAGGAGGATGGGTGGCCAGGTGTGGGCAAAAAGAGGTGGCAGTGAACCACACTTCGGATTTGATAGTTACAGGAAAAACTATGTAGGACGACTGCCCCTCATGATAGTAGTATTTTAATGCTTTACTTTTTTTTGTGAGGTTACCACTACCATATTGTTCATTTGCTTCGTGCTTGTTTTTCGAGCTACGTTTTTTCCTGTCATTTTGCTCCTTTTCGATGATGATCAAAGTTGTTTTGATTTGCGTGTTTTAAGATGGACCTTATCAAGATCCCACTAAAATAGTGATACATAATACATAATGCTAAATAAATAACGGTTCTATCTGTTTTTGGGTCAATTATAATAGTAATCATCAGAAGGATGTTTATCCAGGGTTTGAAGAGGACGTGACGTGACACGTGACATGCCCCTGACCAGGTTGACATTGTTGCCCTACCTCTCAGTATCCACACGATGTGCTCAGACGTCACATCAAGCAAGCAGGAGCCCAGGGCAAAGGGGTATGGTGGGCTGATCCCACAATGGGGAAAGGTTGGTTATGGTATGTTGTGGTGCAACCCCCCTGTAACCATAGAATCTCCTAAAATCCCGAAAGCTAGCGGTAAGCTACCTGAGTTCCCCCTTGCGTATTGGGGTGGGAGCGGTGCAAGTGCAGGAGTTTGGGCCCGTTATGTATTGCTTCGCCTTTCAAGGGCCCCCCCCTCTCTTCGATTCCCCCCAGGCCCACCTCCAGAGCAGCATTTGCAACAAGGCAGCATGCTGTCTGCTTCCCTCTTGAAACAATGAAGAAAGACGCATCCTGAACTTCTGCGATTGAACTTCTGCTAGGTCAGCGCTGAGCCTCCTAGGAAGAGACTCAAGGCATTTGAGTTGCAGTGTACCTATATGGGCATAGACATATTATTGATACATATATATATATATATACATATATATATATACATATATATATATATATCGGCGGCTGTCCAGCTGCACTCCTGTCTTCTTTTTTAACCATGCCAATGTAACCCTGCCAAAGGGAGAGGCCAGTGCAGCCATGGTTGCACCTGCTGCGAGCCCAGTTGTACCAGTGGCACAGTCTGCTGATGATGTGGCCGCTGACCAAGGGTTCCAATGCACAGCTGTGCTGAGGCTGTATCTCTTGCTGCAGCCAGAGCAAAGGTCATGCCACGGCCGAAGATGCGGCGCATGCATGTCCGCCACTGAAGTCAAGCCCCTTGCAGTAGCTGCACGGTACTGCTGCAGACCCGGTTGTGCTTCGATGTTTTTCTGTGACGGACGGCTCGTGGTCACAGCACCAGCCCAGTAACGCGCCGCAGCATGCCAGTCCGACACACAGTGGCCAATGGACATGCAACTGGTGCACTAAAGCGGGCCAGGGACATGTTCTGGCTGTCACCTGCACATGGGTGCCACGCCCAGGGGAGTTGCGGCCCATCACTGCATTCAGCTGCCCTGCTCGGTTCTCAGTCTGTTGGCGAGGGAAAGCCGGTAGGAAAGCTACAGCTAGCATCTGCCGCCGTGTGTTCAACACATGCGATGGGTGTCACATCTGAGTATCTGCTACGGGCAGCTTCGATGCTTGTGCATGCATTCCATCACTTAGATAATTCAATACCCTGTATCACAGGGTGATTAGATCAGACCAGGGTCGCTCCTATCAGCAGATATTATATATATATATATGATTTTTGCATGTTTCTGCATTTGATCTCATTTTTTTCACTCGTTTCATTTTTCTTTTTTTCCAGCTATGATCATTTTATACCAGTAGTATCGCGCAAGGCAGTGGCGGAAGTTCCAAAGATAGGAAACTATTGGAGAGGTGAGATTGTTGTGATGCATGGATGGCAGAGCGAATCCACTGATGGACCGAGGTGGTTGGAGTTGTGCTTTTTGAAATGGTTGCGGTGGTCACCTCACCCACAACTGCAGGATGTAATGCGGCGTAGCGGAGTGCAATGTAGCTGTAGTTGTAGTTGTAGTTGTAGTTGTAGTTGTAGTGTAGTTGATGTTTTTGAAGTTGTAGTGTTGTAGTGGTAGTTGTTGTTATTATTGTAGTTCTAGTTGTAGTGTAATTTAAAGTGTAGTTGAAATTGTAGTTGTGCGTAGTAATTGGAGTAGTCGTAGGAGCTGTAGTTGCAGTTGTAGCTGTAGTGTAGTGGTAACTGTTGCTGTAGTGTAGTTGAAGTTGTAGTTGTAGTTGTAGTTGTTGTTGCAGGTGTGGTGGCAGTTCTAGTTGCAGTTGCAGTTGTAGTAGTTACAATAGTTTTTGTAGTTGGTTGTGGCTGTAGTTGTACTTGTAGTTGTAGTAGTTGTTGTAGTTGTAGTTTTGTGCAACGGTAATTGTAGTTGTAGTTGAAGTGTAGTTAAAGTTGTTGTAGTCGTAGTTGTAGTTGTAATAGTTGAAGTTGTAGTTGTAGTTGTGTTGTAGTTGCAGTTGTCTACCTACCTGTCTATCTATATATATATATATATCTGTTTATCTATCTGTCTATCCATCTGTCTATGTGTTTATCTCTCTATTTGCCTGTCTGTCTATTCTTATTCTAGCCATGTTTCTGTCTATCTATCTATCGGTCCTGAAGAAGGTGGCAGCTGGTGCACGATGCAGCCTAGGTGCACTCACCTTTTTTATCCTATATAATGTTCCGGGATGTCCAGGTCTTTCACCCGCACCTGCCAGATTCTGTTTTTGTGGGCGATGGCGCATCGGACTGCTTGGATGAGATCCAGAATGGAGATGAAGATCCATCGACACGGCTGCAGAGGCTCACGGAGCGCATTGAGGCTGAGTTCCCGCCGGAGGAGATACTCTTGGTGTGCCCCCGCGGATGGACGATATGCTTGACAGAGCATGCGCTATGTGAGTTGAGGAGGTGGAGTCGCTGGGCTGGCCGATTCCGAACTGGAACAAAACGGGAATTGGAAGCCAGACAAGCGAAGCGACAGGCTCGCATGAAAAAGGTTTGGAAGATCTGTCTATCTATCTATCTATCTACCTACCTATCTATGTATCTATCTATCTATCTATCTATCTATCTATCTATCTAAATCTATCTCTATCTATCTAATCTATCTAATCTATCTAATCTATCTATCTACCTACCTACCTACCTATCTATCTATCTATCTATCTATCTAATCTATCTAATCTATCTAATCTATCTAATCTATCTAATCTATCTAATCTATCTAATCTATCTATCTAATCTATCTATACTATCTATTCTATCTATTCTATCTATTCTATCTATTCTATCTATTCTATTTATCTATCTATCTAACTATCTATCTATCTACCTATCTACCTATCTACCTCTCTATCTATCTATCTATCTATCTATCTTTCTATCTTTCCATCTATCTATCTATCTACCTATCTATCTATCTAATCTAATCTAATCTAATCTGATCTAATCTAATCTATCTATCTATCTAGCTATCCAATCTATCTATCTATCTATCTGTCTATCTATCTATCTATCTATCTATCTATCTATCTATCTAATATATCTATCTATCTACCTATCTATCTATCTATCTATCCTATGTATCTATCTATCTATCTATCTAATCAATCAATCTATCTATGTATCTATCTATCTATCCATCCAACTACCTATCTATCTATCTACCTACCTACCTATCTATCTATCTATCTACCTATCTATCTATCTATCTATCTGTCTATCTATCTATTTTTACTATCTATCTATCTATCTACCTATCTATCTATCTATCTGTCTATCTATCTATTTTTCTATCTCTCTATCTATCTATCTATCTACCTATCTATCTATCTATCTGTCTATCTATCTATCTACCTATCTATCTATCTCTATCTATCTATCTATCTACCTATCTATCTATCTATCTATCTATCTATTTATCTATCTATCTATCTATCTATCTATCTATCTATCTATCTATCTTATCTATCTTATCTATCTTATCTATCTTATCTATCTATCTATCTTACCTATCTTATCTATCTTATCTATCTTCTCTATCTTCTCTATCTTCTCTATCTTATCTATCTTATCTATCTTATCTATCTTATCTGTCTTATCTATCTTATCTATCTTATCTATCTTATTTATCTTATCTATCTTATCTATCTTAACTATCTTATCTATCCTCTCTGTCATCTGTCTATCTGTCCATCTGTCTATCTGTCCATCTGTCTATCTACCTATCTATCTACCTATCTATCTACCTGTGTATCTGCAAGCTTGAAAACGAAGCTGTTCTGCAAGCCTTCCTCAATTTTTGAACTTGACAGCATCAAAAACGCAGTAACTCAGCGAGACTTCCTCAACTTGTGAACTTGACAACGTCAAAAACGAAGCAATTCTGCGAGACTTCCTCAGTTTGCGAAGTTGGCAACATCAAAAACGAAGCAATTCTGCGAGACTTCCTTCAAAAATGAAGTTGAGTGCAGAGCTGACGGCCTCGCGCCAATGCGTTTTGCGATGTTTCCACTCCATCTGTCTAAAGTATTGCGCCTGCCACGAAAAAGTGACGCCAGGTCATACGAAGTGCTGCACCTGTCACACAAAATCATCTTCCCAAAACTGAAAATCTAATCCTCCAAAATGCAACCCCTCTCAGGAAATCAGCGCCCTGACCTCCTAACATCTCTGATGAACATGTCTCTTCTTGTACCGCGCTTGCAACGGAAAATGTATCTTTGCATGATCCTCTGCATATGTCGTTTTAGGTCCATGGGTGCCCCAAGTTTCGACCCATACCCATATGATTTCCCACAACATCTGGATGATGTCCCTATGTTTGGTCATGACCCCGCAGGTGGTTGATCCGAAACAAATTCTACTTGGATTGATTTTAAGGGACGTCTTTGACTGGAAAACATGACTTTTGCTTCCAAATAAAGGGGGATCAACACGTAAATGTATGCATCATCAAATCACCAGAGGAGATCCCATTATCATTCCATTATCTATATAATTCCATGGAAATCCCATGGACTTATATAAATCCCATTCTTACCGGGTAAAAATATGAGTCCCGAGACTTCCCGTTTTTTCTGTCAGCTTTAGGATGTTGCAAGTCCTGAACCGAGCCAAAGATCTGGTGCTCCACCACGAGGGCTGCGAGGCACAGAGTGTGTATCAAGCCTTGAACGATGCTTGGAGCACCTGACTTGGGGAATCAACTTGCGAAAAGAAACCGAACAAGAGGGAAGGGGTAATAAAGTTCGTTTTCTATTCCAAAAGTTTACTTGACTATTCATTTTTTGGCGGGACGCCCAAAATCTTTGTAGCATTTCCGGGATGTTCATGGATGTCCCAATTTTTTGTCAAATCTTCCATCTCAGGATGCCTGTGGAGAGCATCAAATCTCGCTGACGGACCTCTCGTTGTCCTTCTGCGCCACCGTGGGGGCGGAACGGCTGGTGGGCTGCAGCATCAGCGGCAAATACAGCACCTGTCTGGAGGTGTGGCCCAGATGGCCCAGGGATTGAGTGGAAACTGGAGGATCCCCCGCGAATTGGAAGTGGTTGAGATTCCTAGTTAGGACGTGTGCCTGTTTTGTGGTACCATCGATATCCATAGAGAATACATGGATGATATAAATTATAATTATGGTTGCTAACCAGGTATACCAAGTGGGATGATCCTGCAGGTATGATCTGGTGGTTCACCCCAGGAATCGCAAGTGTGAATTCAGTAGGGTCAGTAGGGCAATCCTCCAGTTTTCTGGGTGAACATGGGTGAACTCAGCCACAAACAAACTGGGGTGAACCGATCTGGATGGATTGTGGCCGCATACAAGATGATGTTTGGTCCTTTTTGGGACCAGATGGGAGATGTAAACAATGTAAACACCATTCATCCAAACCACTAAAGGTTTAACGAACCCGTCAGGAGATCAACAAACCCCAGGGACGAACTGAATCAGTTGCCACCCAGATGCTGATCGAAAGACAAGTGGTATCAGGATACTCACACGGAAACAAGCAAGCACTCTGCTTATGTCCACATGGTATACAAATATACATGATATTGCATAATTATACAATTATACATATATGTATATATACATATATATATATGTAATGTGTATATATATATATATACACAATATCACACCGTAGTATAAATATATCTTTCAGTGGGTGAATCTCAACCAAGAGTCACACGACTGCCGGCTTCCTTGGAGGATCACCCCATGGATCGAAATTGGTTGGTAACCCTGGTGACGAGTCGTCCTCGATTCCTGGGTGATCCAGTTGTCCACTTAGTAAGCGAAACCCACTTTGGAAACATCCAGAGTTATTGCAGTACATGGAGTACACATATATAGATTTATACTGAATAATGATTTATAGAAGATTATGGGTATGTAGATTTTATTGAATACACATATAGATTTATGTACAGGTCACTTGCCAGTTGTTAAATGGGCTCTCCAAACGAAACCACCAGTCTAACCCCAGGACGTCCTACAGCAGCGACATCTCTTGTTGCAGGGTCGTGCGGAAGGACTGGCTTTTGTGGAGCCCCCAAAGCCCATGGAGAAAATCATGCTCCCCATTCCCCATGAAACAGGGCCATATGTGGAAGATAAATTCGAAGATAAACCCAGAGAGTACCCTTAATTTGAGTTATATATCACATTACATCTCCATATAATCCCAGTAAATTCCTATTCAATCACCATGAAATACACTTCCATATTAATCACTTTAATTTCCAAGTAGATCACCATGAAATCCCATAAATTTTCGCACCCAAGATGATGACCCAATGACAACAGTAAACATCCTTTCTGCCCCAGCATGAGCAGCTATTTGTGGATGGTTGCGGCATCCTGCGCCAGTTGGTAGATGGTTTATCCCGCTATAATCCCATTATTTACAGTGTTTCATAGTTACCAATCCAACTGGTGCAGGATTTCTTCCATCCGCAGTATGTAGGTAGATGTAATAATAGCTAATCAAATTGTTTCAGCAAATATGCATAGTTCTACATGTGCATAAATACGCATCATCACTCATACATATACATACACAATCATATATATATACATACATACATACATACATACATACATACATATACATACGTACATACATACATACATACATACATACTAGCATACATAGCATACATAGCATACATGCATGCATACATACATACATACATACATACTTACATACTTACATGCTTACATACTTACATACTTACATACTTACATTACATTACATTCCATTACATTCCATTACATTCCATTACATTACAATACCATGCATACATACATACATACATACATAAATACATAGATCAATAGATACATAGATACATAGATACATAGATACATAGATACATAGATACATAGATACATAGATACATAGATACATAGATACATACATACATACATAATAACATAGCATACATAGCATACATAGCATACATAGCATACATGCATACATGCATACATGCATACATGCATACATGCATACATGCATACATACTTACATACTTACATACTTACATACTTACATTACATTTACATTACATTACATTACAGTACATTACATTACATTACATTGCATTGCATTACATTACATACATACATACATACGTACATACATACATACATACATACATACATACATACATACATACATACATACATACATACATGTGTATATATATATTTATATATACACATATTATACGTATGTATGTAGAGTCAGTCTGAAGTAGATATAACATTGGTTTTGCAAACACATGCTCATTTTGGACAGTTTTTGTAATTTCGATATTCTATCAAATTCAGGGTGACTCTACGACCCCATATATTTTGAAAGATAGCCCATGTATGCGTCCCGAATGTTGACCCCAGATCACATTTCTCACAGGATATGAGAAGCTTCGGGAGGCGTGTCAGAAGCTCGGCGTCGGAAGCGTCTCCGAAAAGACGAAAAACATAAATCCTGTGGATGGGCCGGCCGTTGCGAAATCCGAAGCAGTTTTTCTGGTCAACATCCCATGAATTTGTTGGGGTTTCAACATGTTTATAGATGGTTTATCCCATGAATTTGTTGGGGTTTCAACATGTTTCAACCAGGAATGGATGGTTTAATGGTGGTTTATCGGATTCCACCATCCACAGAAACCCTTCTGAATTTGGGTGGCCTAGATTTCACCCAACTTATGGAGCTGAAAATCTAGTTTTATCACCCCAACTGTACCCCCAAGTAATGGAAAAAACACCCGAATTATGGTAGTTTGTGCCTAGAAGGTGGTTGGTCCCTCAGTTGTAAGTTGGTTGAGTCCACATCCAGTTTTTTTTTTAGTTCGATAGATATATCAACCAGAAACGCAACAGTTATGGTTGATATATGGTTGATAATAGATTGATATATCTAGTTAATTATAGCTATAGATTATTAGTCATAACTGGTTGTTAACCATAACAGTTATAGATTAACTTAGCTAACTATGGGCACCAACTTTTACTGGGAAAGGCCCACAGTTCTGACAATGTGATGGGGAAATCATCTATTTAAGGGTCAATTATAGCGACGTCGCCATCAGGTCACAACACATGATATTTCATAAGGAGTGATTGTCCCAAAATGGCTTCATCATGCATTATTTATTTTATTTCAGGATTGTGACTCGTAAGTGGGTGAGAAGGAAAACGCTTGTGAAGCACACTTGATACCACGGATTTGTTTCATGCGGAAACTAAAGATGGTGACTTCCGGTAGGAAAAGCATCTTCCAGAGCCCTTTTTCGGTTGTTCTATGTTGACTTTGGCAAACTTGGATACCTACACAAAATGAGATGTTTTTTTTCCTGGGGGGGCAAACGATTCTCTCACCACATCACCGCTATATTAGACTTTATATCATTACAATATAAATGTGTGTATAATATTATATAATACCAACATCCAAACACAAAGATTTTCCTCAAAACACAGATCATTTATTGTTAGATTAAGAACCACTTTCCCACAACAGTTCTGGCCCTTTCAGAGCCCTCAGGAAGGTCCTGCTGACCACGGTGCGGCCCCGTACCTCACGTGTCTTCGGCCGTGCGCGACCCAAAGCCCTGGAGTCGCCCGATGCGGAGCGATTGCTGCGAGGTTTGGATCGAAGACGGCGGAACTTCTGCCAGAAACGAGCGCTGCAGGTGGTGAAACGGGTACCCTGGCCGCCTTGGTTTAGATCCTGAATAATGAATGATTTTGAAGGGATTGTTTTGGGAGAATTCAAGGAAGCAGCAAGTTGGTTAATTTTCTAGAATAGATGGGGTTGGGATTCACCTGGATTCACTGATGAGTGGTGTGTTGGTGGTTAAGATGAGCTCTGAATTTCCAATCTCACAGGTCAAATTCCAGTTTTCCCGACATTTTCTGAGTGAAATCTGTCATCGCTGATCGTTTCTCAAAGGCCGTGAGGGTTTTGGAAGTCCTGCTGGCCTGCGAGAGTCGTGCAAACATGGCTGACGCGAAGCGGAAAGCACAGGCCGGGAATGAGTGGGAGGGAATGAATTTCAGGGAAGGCCGGGATTTTGAGGGACCAAACATCATCCAATGTACATTTGACATTGATTATGATTCTGAGATGAATATTTTATAGGATTATAAGCAATGTATGACATGCATTAAAATCGATCTGAGATGCGTCATGTCTTATATTTCTTTGAGCGAAAATGGAGATAAGACGTGAATGCCACAAATGGGAGATACATATATGATAAACATCGTTCAGTCTCTCGTCTATGCGCATATTGTTCAGGCGAATCGATGTTCAAATGCATTTTCATTTTTTACTCAGAAATTAAACATGTCTCAATGTTATGTCGTTCTCTTTGGGTTTGAAAGTTCCCCCAATGTTGGACCATACACATCCAAAAACACTCCGTCTTTTCTCAAATGCTTTCGCTTGAAAGTGAGGATCGCCTATAGAACATATGATACATATGGACATAGGTCATTCAACAATTGAGACATTGAGACCTATGGCCAAATATACTAAAAACAACGGTCGGACACCCTGTAACCGCGCGCCGGCAAGGGCCAAAATCCCCATGGCACGGTGGCGTTCAGTGCCTTTTTCCACACGCCTGCCGTTGTTTCGCAACTAGGTCCACTGCCACGCTTGATCTTTGTCCAAATCAAACTTGTGGCGTGGATCATGGCACAATTGGCCTGCTCGGTCCTGGATATCATATATATCATATATATATCATATGTATATATATATATATCACATAGATACCATATATATATATATCATATGTATCAGAGATATCATATATATATATAGCAAACACAACATAGAGATCATATATACCATAGATATCATAGATACCATATCTATCATATTTAACACATTTGTATGTATATATATATATATCATACATATCATAAACAACATAGATATCATGTATACCAAAGATATCATAGATACCTATATCATATATAACACACATAAACCCAAATCCCTCAAAACCCACCCCCCAAAAAACCAAAGGTCACGGACACGATCCAAGCAGCACGGACAATAACAAAACCAAACGCGCCAAACAAAAAAGTTAACGTCTTGGCGCAGAGAAAAAAAAACTTACAACCGTTTAAAAAAAAAGGGAAGGGCGAAACGACAGCACACACACCACACGAACGCTATTATGCCCCCCCCCACCCCCCCCCCCCCTAAACCCCCCCACCCCCTCCCGGAAACCCCCCCCCAAAACCCCACCCCCCCAAAACCCCAAACCCCCAAACCCCCACCCAGCAGCGCAAAAAATCCTGCATTTTTTGCGCAATGAAAAAGGGAAAACACAGCAAAACACAGAGGAAAAAGTAGGAAAAACATAATACGGTGCGCGGTAACAAAGGGTCCGAGGGAAAAACAAACCCCTGCCATTGCGCAAATTGACAATCTCACCAGGGAAAATGATGGACCATTCCCACTGATGGACCATTCCTTCCGCAGCTTTCCGTGTTTTCCCATGAATTTCGGCACCTGATTTCACCGTGTTCCAGGACGGAAACCATGAAGCTGAGAGGGTGAGACGGTGATGGCATTTTGGTGATCTGTTCAGCCTGGAAAGCAGATGTTTCAAAAAAGAGGGATCTGGTTTTTGTTGAGGCTGTTGATTTTAGAATCTGTCTTGATTCTAAAAACATGATCCCAGCATGTCCTTGTGAAGATATGGCAGAAACGCGGTGCCTTGGGGCGGCCGACTCCTGAAGCAAGTCGGCTCCCAGAGACCGGTCACCACCGGTCACCGGTACGAAAAGAGCGGCCCCAGCATCCGGGCGCCGCGGCCAGTTGGTTCATGGTGGGATTCATAGGGGCTATAATCAGCTCCCAAAAGATATAGAAAAGTTTCTTATCCGACTGAAATAGTGACTGGGTGGTTTGGAACATAGCTGGATTATGATTTTCCCATCATATTGGGGTCATGTCATCATCCCAACTGACTTTCACTCCATCATTTTTCAGAGGGGTAGGGTTGAAACCACCAACCAGTAATGTACTGTTTTTTTTTGGGGGGGGATAACATGGGATTACTATCCTGTAAAGATACAAGCATCAAAAGTGAGGTGCGTTCCATCTACTATACTATATCATCTATATTCACGTTCCGGGATCCTGCTCCTCAAAACACTGATTTCAGATTTCAGCAGATGTTTTCTCGCTTCACCTAAGAACCAAGGTAATAACACTTAAGTATTAGTGGGAATACCGGAAATGAGACATGTCATATTTTTCGGCTAAACACCTGGGTTTCCTCTGGATTTAACTGCATGCTGGATCCTGTTCGGAGTTGCTGCTGCATTTCCGCCCATGTTTTTCAGCTCCAGTCACCAACAAGCCTATCATCCAAGCCATGTCGTGCTTCATCCCAGTGGGTGAGTTCCAGTTACAACTGGACAAGCCTCAAGCCTAGCTTTGCTAGTTTTAAGCCTCCAGGGGTGAACCACCAAGTATCTAATCTGGTTGGTGGTTTGGAACATTTTTTATTTTCCATATAATTATTGGGAATAATACTCCCAACTGATTAATATTTTTCAGAGGGGTAGGGCTCAACCACCAACCAGTAATGTAATCTAATCCCAATTATGGCTGGTTCATCCCCAATACATCCCAATATATCTCCATTAAGTCTCCATTAAATCTCCTTAATTATTCAAGGGGCTTAACCTTGGACACTATGGCACATGGGACAAAGGACAGGGCACATCATTTCTAAAAGCACCCGGGACCAGCACTTCTTTGAAGTTCCTTAAACATGAGAAGCGATCTTGAAATCATGGTGTCCTACTAGACGTACTAATGAACTACAGGTAATTACATGTACTTCCACCAAAGTGATACCTGTAAAAATTATGCACATCATGAACATTCTCTCAACAATTCCATACAAATCTTTGAAAATCTATGAAATTCATCATAAAGTCATCTAAAATCCAGCAAATTTCCCAGGCCCCAGTGACAGCAATTCACCCCATGGCGGACGCCGCTGCGCCGGCCGAAGCCCCGGCTGCGACGGCGGCAGCCGCGACAGCGGCGCCTGCAGCCGCACCGGCGGCGTCTACTGCAGCGCCAGCCACAGGTGAAGGGATGGATTGGGAGTTTGGGATAGTAATTATAGTATTCCAAAATGATTAATTATCATAGGGGATTGTATCATTATTGTGAGTTGGATTTTAGTTTTGGATATTTAGACTAAATTTAAATAAATATCCATAATGATTAGTATGATCACCGGGGATTATCATGGGTATTGTTGATCAGATAGCAATCGCGATATAATTCAATATAAGAAAAAACATAATCATATTCTAGTGACAATGGTGACAATGACAATAGTGATGCTAAAATTCATAATGATAAGTAATAGTGATGCTAAAATTCATAATGATAAGTGTCTGGTTGGTGGTTTGGAACATTTTTTAAATATATTTTTCCATTCAATTGGGGTCATGTCATCATCCCAACTGACTTTCACTCCATGATTTTTCAGTGGGGTAGGTATACCTTCAAACCACCAACCAGTAAGTGTAATGTTATGTGATGATACTGTTTATATGATTATATGTGGATAACACATCAATAAACCATTGGGCTTGGGGAAGGGGCTTGGGATGGTAAGTCTGATATTCCTTTGGTCAACTAACAGTTTGCTATTGAAAATGATATTTTAATGGGTAAATCGTCAACTAGCATAGCTATCATAGCTATAATATTAGAATTTTTGATGGGTAAATCAACTTTTTCTGTGGTCATTTTCGGTAGCTATGTTAAGTTACCAGAGGGTACCATCTTGAATTTAACATAGCACAGATTTGTAGACGGGCCACTTGAAGTGGAGACTTGCTTTGATAATTTCCCGACTCAGGAAGGATTCCAACTTCAAGGATTTGTTTCAGATGGGTATGGTTTCAAAATGTTCCAAAAGTTCCAAAATGTTCCAAACCAATTATAATAGCTGTAAAGCTGGATGTTTATCTCTCCATTCGAGATAGTTACTACAGTGGGTCTGAGGAAACCATACCCAAACGACTGGGTTAAAATTTCACACCAAAAATCCTCCTGAATTTCCTGAACACAAAAAAAAATCTATACACAACCTTCAAACGGGAAAAACAAGGTAAAGTCACCAATTATTGCTTGACCTCTGGTAATTTGTTGCATAGCTATGGACATTGACCCATTTAGTTTGATTTCAGCTCAGGCTCCACAGTGAACACCACGGGAGCCGTTGGGGCCGTTGGGGCCGTTGGAGCGGTTGGTGGGGGCCCCTGGGGCCCTTGGCCACGGTGATGGGTTGATTTGCTATCATATGGGGTTATAAGTAGCCATCACCCACTAGCCTTAAGCATAAACATATGGAGATATAAGTAGATATAACAGAGAAACAAATGATGGTTTATTTGATGATGATGTCTGATGTAGTTTTTTTTGCTATCAATATATATATATATATTGGGGAATATCAGTGGGGAATCCCATTCTCAACCAACCAGTACAAGGGACGACAGGGTTTTGAACACTGCTCATTTCCCATAAACATCATGCTTTGCAAAGTACGTTGTAGATATTTGAGGAGCGGGCTGTTTCAGGCTATATCCAGGCAATATCAATCCTTTGACAGGGCAACAAGAAGGATAGGACCGTAGTTTACAGCTTAGCTCCCTAAGTTTCATGATCCAAACATGAGTTTTGGGGCCGTTACAGTGAATCCCCAACCCTATGACCCTCCCCCCAAAAAATGGCCCCAATTCAATTTACTACATGATGTCTGACCAATCTGCGGAACTCATATGCCCAGCCTCCGCCTCAAGGTCAAAATCAAATGTCCTATGGTGGCTATGGCCAGATGCCCGGCTATGGAGGCTACCAGCCTGGTGGCTATGGTCAGCCGGGCATGATGCAGCCGGGCATGCCAGGAATGATGCCTGGGCAGCCCGGGCAGCCGGGGATGCCACCGATGAATCCTCAGGATCTGCGACCGCAACTGAATTTCCGCACGGTGGTGCGATGTTTCATGGAAATTGCGGCCATCATCCAGGGATTCTCGCTGATTCTGATGATGGGAAATGGTGCCTCAGCTGAAACCAGCGGCTGTCGCTTTGTCTTGCAATTTTGGCGACAGTTGACATTGACAGGTCTTTAGACGAATCGCGCATGTTGCAAACACATATGACATATACATATAAAAATACATAATATATATATAGATATTACATCATATTACATACTGTATATATATAATATGTAATATACATAACATAATATAATGATAATCATCATATATATATAATATAATATAATATAATATAATATAATATATAATATCATATAATATAACATAATATAATATAGTATAATATAATAATAGAATAGAATAGAATAGAATAGAATACAATAGAATACAATACAATACAATATATAATATAATATATACATAATATATTTCTATATATAATATATATATAATATGTATATATATATATACACATATATCAATCAGATATCACAAAGATCCACGAAAGGTTGGCTCCAAGAGATGGGTTCCAACGAAGAGCAGCCGCTGCGTCGCTTCGCCGTCTGGCTGGGCGGCTCGGTGCGCTCGGCGCTCAGCGCCGTGGTCCCGGTGAAGGCCTTTCGGAGGCGCCACAAATCCCTGGAGGACGACGAAAACAGGGAGAAACCCGGGGGATTTTCAGTGAGTTCACCAAAAACATGCAAAACATGTGGATAGTTTAAAGGGAAATGCAAAGAAATGCAAAAAAACCTGGGGATTTTTGATAGTTTAGAGGTTGAAGTTGTTGAATTGTGAATTCTTTTGGGTTGATCATTCATGATGGTTCATGCAAAATGAAGATTGAGGCCACATGTTCCTTTAGTTTCGCTGTTTAAAGAATAGGGATTTAACCAAAAATGGAGGTTGAACTGTTTAAGTCAGGAGGATTTGAGATGATTCTAGAGATAGAATGGGCTAAGGATTTGTAAAAAAGAATGGATGGTTACATACCCTTTTCATGGGTCTGTAAGTTTCAAACCTGGGTAAGATTGATGGTAGATTGATGGTGCATAGGCATATATTTGGGGTGCAAACATGTGGGATTGGGACCAATTGAGATTCGGGTTCGTCAATAAGGTCCAGTACCTCAAACTCCATGGTTTATCATTAGTTTATCATCTTTGCTCACATTTTTCACTTTAAAGTAGCGACATCTTGGTTTTGAGACACAGCAATATTGTATTCTTGCTATATATCCGCAGAAGGAAAATCCCAGTAAATCCCCATAAAAATCGTTGCTTATAAAACATCTCCCATGTGACCCGTGAGGAGATCTGGGACACGAAATCCCAAGCTAGTCGACCCACACGCTGGTGGGTGATACTGGGCCTGGCCTATTTTGCGGCGGCGTTCCTGCAAGAATGGAATGCTTACAGAAACTTGGTAGGTTGATTGTTCAGATTGACTGATTATATGATGGGATTAAATATGATATATCTATCTAATGAGAAAATGGGATTTGATTTACATTGAACAAGGTTGCTCCAAGCCGTCATTATAGGACATTGTGGGTAATGTTTGGCTACTTTTGGCTGGACGATTTGTAAGCTTCCCCTTTGGTATCTGGGGTGTTTGGAGCAACCCTGTTGAATCTGGCATGATAGAAGAATACCATTGTGAGTAAACTGAATCAACATTGAATCATTCAATGCTTGCTAATATGCTAAGTTTAGATGTATGGTAAAGTAACATCACATATAGTAATATAGTAATACTAAACCATGTTTGCAGACTGATGGTTGGTAGAAGGGTCCTGTGGTGTGACATGAATTCTTATGGACAAGAGGGAGGGACCCTGCACTCAAGCAACCAGTAGAGGGGAGAAGACAGAAGGTGAAAGTCACTGCTTGTTTGGATGGAGTTGTAATAGTTGGTGTCGGTATCGTGTGGATTATGGGACCCAACTTGAGTCCCAGACTTCTGGTGTTTGTTTTCTAGCCCTTTCATGTATGTCAGACACCAAGCAACTAATTCATACCATCCCCCAAAATAACATAGACCCTGCCAAAATTGCTGATTCTCATGCTCGATCGAACTGTTAGTTGGGGTATGCCATGTGGGTTTGTGACAAAGTTATAATCCTTGAAAAGGCCATTGATTTAGCGCTTGAAATCACCTGGGGGTGCAGTGCCGCTAATAAGTGTTTTTTTTTTTAACCTATGCTGTAGGACCCCATATCCCAAACTTATGGAGGTTAAACTCCCATAGTCATATAGTCATATTATATTCATTAATAGCCCCAGTTGCACCCCCAAGCAGTCTTTTGCGGGTCGAGTAGCGGCCAATGACTAAGGAAGAACGAGGCAGCAGATGGGCTCCGCCGGGCAGAAAAGTGGTTTGCCTGGCCCTGACAGTACAGGAAGTCGGAGTGCCAGCAATGTGTTGCTGGGTCAGAACCGGAGAATTTGTGCTTTGGTTGGTGAATGATGCTTTTTTTTGTTATAACCTGGGGAGTATACAATGGTGTTGCGCATATATTCATTTATAATGCACATTTCTCACCGAAGCAAGAGTTTCTTCAATGTAATGAGTTGGAGTCAATGAGTAATAGCTCAAGATAGCCATAATATTGTTTGGTTGGTCAATGAAGAGAAAATTCCTCTTCATCCACAATGAGAGGAAGATACATCCGGGTAGCTGGCTAGCTGTAATCAATGAAGGAATAGACATCCGCCCACAGGAATGAGTTAATATGTGTAATTTCCCCTACTGAACCATGGTTTCTGGGCGGTGTTTGATGTTAGGGGGATGGGTTTTAATGAGATGGTTTTCCATGCAGGTGAGTTGACCAGATAGGGGAACCCCTTTTTGAACGATTGGCTTCCAAGCCCAATTTTCATCCGTTTGCATTTCATGGTAGTCTCAATTTCTTCTCCATCACTGTTTGGAATGGTTTTGACACTATCTGATACGTTCGTGATAGATTGACATCGTTGCTTTAAATGCGGCCCCTAGTTATGTTTGTTGAGCTCTTGTTTTACCCATCCAGCTCTAGATATGCACCCTGCCGTCAGTGATTGTAGTTATTATTTCAACTTAAACCTATCTCGAGGGCCGCGCATTGTACCTAGATAAGCGTAGCGCGTAGCCAACCGATTGTGATCCCAAGCGTTACCTTTTGGGCGTGGCTGAGACGTTCCCAAACAAAAAAGGTTTGATTTCTACATGCAGAAGCAGAAGGAACTTCACAGGCAGAAGACCTCGAAACAAGGTGCGCGGTTGTGGTTGAGGCTTGGGAACCTAACGTCCCTAATAGAAGGTACAGTAATTTTGACCTATTTTGACCTATATATATATATGATTTTGATCCATTGAAATGGCAATCTACATCTGATTTTCACATATTTTTATCCATATTTACATGGGAAAATATCCATATCGTATTCCCAATGGGTTCAATGGGTGGGGTTTTTGCTGGTGAACTAGGGGAGTGATCCCTGAAAAAGGGCATGAAGTTCTCTTAAAACGGTAGCTTGGTAGCTTGCAAAGTCATGGTAAAATCCATCAGGGGTCATCATTTATTCAGAATGAATACCCTCTGGTAAACTAACATATAGCTATTGCAACTGGCCATTGATAGTTGATTTACCCATTAAACATGGTGATTTTCCATAGCTATGTTAGTTTACCAGAGGGTATGTGATTTTGTCTTAGAGATTGAAATCACCTAGTATCCAATGGTTAATCATCATTTGCGCGTTAAGAAAATTGCCATAAATTGGGGTCACCTCCCCAATTTTGAGACAAGGTCGTCATGTTTTTCACATTGTTGGTGTCGTATCCCCGTGAACGCTACTCATTATATCCTCTTCAAAGGGTTGGTTTTCCCATTGCTTGGTTAATGAAAAAAAGATGGTTCCCTCCATGAAGACCGATCTTTATTGGTCATTGGTAGATGACCAGCAATCATATACCAAACCGGCCCCTCTATTTTTTCTAAGGGACAAGGTTTGTTCACACCAGTTATAGGTTGATAGACCACGATAAACCCTCCTTATCTCATTGACTCCATATCTACCATATTTCTACCATAAACCAGAGTTATTCTAGATATTTGCACCAACTTAGCTATCGTAAAGGGGGGACCCACCCTGTAGTTGGGTAGGTTGATAGCTCTCCGTTGCAGGTGCATCTGCCGCATCCCTAGCGCCTGGGAAAAGAAGAGGAACACATTGGGAGATTTTGGGGTTTTGAAAGGATAGCGAAGTGTTTCCAGTATGTGAAGTACATATTCTTAGATGAGGTCTCCTCCATGATGTCAAGGTGTTTTCTGACAAAAATCTATGACCAGTCTTTTGATACTTAAAATGTCGATTCAAGTTTCGGTTGGTAGGGATAAGATTTAACTGTACTTAACTGGGGTATCTATGGTGGATACGTATGTCTTTCAGTTGGGTAAGCTATGCCTGACATAACTGGGAGGGGCCTGGGTCACTTTTGTACTTGGATGTGTACCCCAGTTCAGTGGGTAATAACCATATTATATCATATTATAAGCCAATCATATGTGATATACCTGATATATCATAGTAATGTATAATATAAAAGATTGGGTGTTAACCACTTACGATTCTTGGGATACACCGCCAAGAAGGGGGGCTGGGCCAAGCAGGATGTTCTTCGCGGTTGCTAAGATGGTACAACACTTCTTCAAGTTTAGATATAAGTTCGTAAAATCTGAATCTCAAATAGTGGGATCTATAGATTGTTGAATTGTTTATCACCGTTTCTATGGGTTTTTGGTCCCCCAAAAACAAGAAGTTCAGCACATGTCAATCATGATCCATCCCAGTCCGGAGTCGAGATGTCGACCTAGGTCGAGTAGCTGCTGAAAAAGTGGTGCACCAGATTTGTAGGACCAACCTATGACTGGGGATGGGTGTATAGCACCCATTTACCCTCTGGTTATGTCATTATAGTGGAATTACACATTGAACATGGTGATTTTCCATAGTTATGTTAGTTTACCAGGGGGTAAAATGTAATATCAGGTTTACCACATCATATATAATCAGTTGGTTGGTTCGAGGGTGCCTAAAAAGGAGAGACATGTTACACGTCGATACCAACATGCTGGGAATAGGTGTTTCGAACATATTTTAGTATGTGGTTGGGGGGACTTCACTTGATCTTCTATCTTTATATGCTGTCATGATCCCTGATGACTTCTGCTTTACATTTATTTTGGCAACGGTGAATCACCAGCCGGACAGGAATGTGGAAAACAAGTCCAAGAAACATCACTGGTTGGTGATTGGATATTTGGTGATTTATGTTGTATATATGGAATCTGGTTGGTGGTTTTCATAATATATGGTTCCAGATCAATATTATTTTCCATAATATATGGGATGTCATCCTTCCCATTGACGAACTCATATTTTCAAGATGGTTAGAAACACCAACCAGATCATGGCGGGTGCGATAAGATATCCCTATGATGGGGCTTTCACAGGCTATCACAGAATATCACCATTTATCACCAATGGGATTCTAATGCTAAGGAAACGTGCTTCATTATGTCCTCATGACACCCGAAGTATACTTAGTGTGATGAACTGATAACTGGTTATGGCCAATGATATTCGTTACAGATGAGTTGATGACTGTCAACATATGTTAAATGCCACCCTAGAAACCTTGGTTTGAGGCTGAATCTATACATTTTTGGGCCCTATATAGGGGTATGAAAAATATTAGGGGATGGGATTATTCATGTGTGCAGTCTTGCCTAAAGATATCTCATAATGGATATGATACATAAATACTGGATTTATGTTCATTTTCATTGATTCATTGTGACATAATGATGTATTTAATTTACTCCATCATGGGCGGGGTGCATCATACATTCACAGCGCGGATCGCCGCTGTATCGGCTTCTTTTTGCATTGGAGAGCTGTAGCCATGAGAGCTGTAACCAGCTGTAACCACATGGTGGAAACAAACCTACTGGCGGTTTAGGATTGATCGTGACTACATGGGGATGGGTCAAAACCCTGGTACCTAGTGAACCCCAAAATAGCTGGTAAATGGATGTTCATCCCACTAAACATGTATCTATAGGTATTGACCCATACCCACATGACAAAAAACTCTCTACATCTTCGCCGCATTGACCACTCTGAATAAACCTGAAAAAGCATTCACGTTGACCAAGCCTTTCTCATATCCACGTTCGCAGATCCAGTTGACATTGACCTTAAAGGCTTCCGAGGATGATCGATTCAACGCAAAGATTGTATCCCAAAGATTGTATCCCAAAGAAACTCATACTCTACTTGCGATAAGGGCACAACAAATGGTCTATCCGTGGTCAACCGTGGTCGGATTTTTCACGATTTAACCTAACTATAACAGAGAAAACGTGCCCTGCGCGCCCTGCGCGGCCTACGTCTCCTCCTCGGGTTTGCTCGAAGAGTTTGTGGGGAGTTCAGGCCCTGCAGATGTGGAGTATGTCTATACTAATCTACTACGAATCAGCTGCGGGGGCCCATGAAAAAAACATTTCCCATGTGCATTTTTTGCAGGATCTTTTGGCTCTATCATTGGAAGACCATGGCTTGGTTGGTTCCGCGGGTTGAATTTTAGATACTTAAGCCCTTTTGCCGAAAGTACCATAGTTACCTTATCAAAACAAACGAAACCAACTTGCGGGTTTGCCTAAAGTTAGCCAAGCACCCCATTTGACCCGCAAGTTTTGCCATGCTGTCTCACCCCATGAACTCTTTTAGGTGGGGTTCCCCTCATGGCTGGGTACGCTGCTTCAGACAGCAAGATGGAGGTACAATGGGGTGGTGGCGAGCTTTTATAAGGGATGCCTCCCACGGTGCTAAGTTATATTTTCTGACTATCTTGGGGATATGTTAATCGTTTGTGGTGTTTGAACATGGTTTGGTTTGGTTGTGACTGTGGCTGTGGTTGTGGCTACTGTTGTTGTGGCTGCTGTTGCTGTTGCTCTTGTCGTCGTGGTCGTGGTCGTTGTGGTTGTGCTTCTCCTTTGTGCTTGACCTTGTCCTTGTCGTTGTTGTTGTTTGGTGGTGCTGGCGGCAGTGGTCGTTCTTCTTCTTTTCTTCTTCTTTTTCTTCTTTTTCTTCTTGTTGTTGTTGTTGTGGTGGCTGTTGTTGTTGTTGCTGGTGTTGTTGTTGTTGTTTTTTTTTTTGTTGTTGCTGTTGCTGTTGCTGTTGCTGTTGTTGTTGTTGTTGTTGTTGTTGTTAATTATTGATGATGATGATGATGATGATGTAGTTGTTGTGGTTGTTGTGGTTGTGGTTGTGGTTGTGGTTGTGGTTGTTGTTGTTGTTGTTGTTGTTAATTATTGATGATGATGATGATGATGATGATGATGACGATGATGATGATGATGATGATGTAGATGTAGTTGTTGTGGTTGTTGTGGTTGCGGTTGTGGTTGTGGTTGTGGTTATGGTTGTGGTTGTGGTTGTGGTTGTTGTTGTTGTTGTTGCTGTTGTTGTTGTTGTTGCTGGTGTTGTTGTTGCTTTGTTGTTGTCGTGTCTATCCCAAGGCAAAGATTGTCTCCATGATCGAGAAAAGAAGTTTAATTGTACCTGTCCTTGAACTTTCGACCGGAATAGACAGGAAGAAACCCTCGTGGTTTCAAATCCGTTTCATTTGCGAGAACTACATATTTGGGAACATGGCCCGAAATGAACAAGTAATGTGGTAAACATCATGCGCCATACCCTGTGTCCCTTCTTTTGAAACCATTTGGGGGTTGTCAAAAGACATACTATCAATACCTGTCATGTACCCTTTTTTATCCATTTTTTGGTATCCAACTAATCCCATCTTGGGGATATGTCATATGGGGCGTGGGATCTCACCCAGACCCACTCAACAAGCTTACGGATGTCTCACGTATTTGTTAAGCGCTGAAAGCAAGAAGCGCCAACAACAGATACCTGGCTTAGGCATGCTTAGGCATTGATGGTTTCAGCTTGCTTTGCTGGCAATTTGATCCCACTCGTGTTGCTTCACGATTCAACGATGTTCAAATTCTATGCCTTTAAATCATTATAATGCGTGTTGATTGATTGTTCATCCAATATATTGGTTGCCCTTCCATGTGTTTGCCCTTCCATTGTCTGTCATCACCTGTCATCTATTGTTTTCAATTTTTTGGAAACATACGTGAAGGAACCCTCCATTTATTCTAAATAGGTTTATAACTTTAAAACCTCATCCAACTATAGACTATAGATATATCATGAATATTCATGAATTAGCATGATACATCCATCATAAACTTTAGCAAACCTAGCCCTCTTTTAAGCCAAATGATAGCTATCTTCAAGACCCACGGCCAGGAGAAAGTGTCAGTGAGGAAACCCGACACGTCCATCCGGCCAAGCCTTGTCCACTGGTGTTGCTGATTTGACCAGCTGGAAGTTGGGTAAACTGGCTGGATAGTTGATGATAATTGGGTCATTTTTGACTACTTTAACATTTAATAACATTTAACTATTTTTAACTGGGGTTATGATGTACAATTATGTGTATAAATATGTATATATATATATCTATAATAATAATAATAATTATTATTATTACATATATATATATACACTAACCACTTTAAAAACCACCCCCAAAAAAAGTGCAGGGTATCGAAGATTGGCGAAAAGTAGCTGAAAATTGCCCTGAAATTCAACATAGAAACCGGGAGAACAATGATGAACACTCCGGGAAACAAGACACACATGGAACCAAAACATGGCCATTTTCAAAACTAAACTCGACCTCCAAGCTACATGGGGCAAAATTGTGCCACAAGCCACACAATGTGGTAGATTCGATATATCTGCAGTATTCTGCAGTTCGATGCATCTAAAAACCAACAAACATCACTGGGGCACCACTTTGCAGGTCTGGGGTGTTTCAGGTTGCAAACAAGAATTGAGGTGCCTGAATTCCAAGTGCTTGGTGTCATTGTGGATCTCCGTCAGACTGAGTTGCTCTGTTGCATCCATGTGACATGTCAGGCACGCTCGGGTACCTCGTGTCATGTGTTGAAATGGATGGGGGACAAGAGAAACTTGACTCGCTGTATGCAAAAATGTGCAAAAGTTGCAAGACTAGCCTTGAAGAAAGCAACGTAGCACTCATCTACAGCTTTCATGGTCAGGAATACTGGCTCCAGTCATCTTTCCTCCCACATGATGCTTAATCATTTTTCCTTTAGGGTCTGTGAGCAAATGCATCCATTAACATCATTAACTAATGCATTTTTTATAGTGTACAGATGTGAATTGGTACCATACAAACATGTAATATACATCTGCATTCACTTTTTTAAATCAATTGTACGTGCATCTATCCTGCACACGGTGTTGGATCGATCCCACTTGCAGTTGTTTTCGTCGGTCATCGAGTCATCGACCAAGCATGAGGGTGAAAACCCACCAATAGTGATAGGACCTCATACTTTTCAAGGAATGGATCAATATTATTTCGTGAAATCCGAATTCTTCAGTGGTCTAAGCCCCTCTTTCAATGATTTAACCATTTAACCGGCCCTCTTAGTTGACCCAATCTTCTGACGCCAAGTTGGGCATCCCTTAAAAGTGAGTTCCGGCTGCAGCCATGTTCTTCTCAATGTAGCGCTCCTGGGGGCGGCTGGCGCGTGCACGCCGTGTGCCCATGGGAGCTGGAAACGCTGGAAACTGGATCTACTGCGGCCTGCTACTGAGCACTGTCCATGCTGCGAAGGCCGGGTTTTCCATGGTAGATTCGGGTCAAATTGCTTTTGTTTTAGTCATAAATGGGGAAGATGTATCAACACAATCTAGCTAGAAATCATTTTTGGCAGGATATCTAAGATTAGCAATGACTACGAGCCTCTGAGCATGACCTTAAACGTGCCTGGAAGCAATGACTATCACATACCAACTTTCTCTCGTGAGTATCAAACCAACGGAAGTATAGGGCTATCAATAATGCATCCCTATTCTCAATGAACATGGCCGCCAACCACATCATTTTTCCCGTCTGGCATAATTTGTAGTGTGGCAGGCCCATAATCCCAAACGCCAATTTCTCTGAAGACACTGACATGGTAACATCAGACATGGTTTGACATTAGCCATGAGTCCCCAAAATTGGTGACATGCCGTATGGTTCACTATCAGCAATCATAATTGCAAGGATTGATGAGACGATGATGCATTTAACAGTTGATGTGCATCCTAAGACATACTTGATGTGGATCAATCGCGAACATATGTTGTAAGACTTACAGGAAGGGCTGGAGTAATGATTTTATATGATTTTAATGTTTGTTGGTTTAGGACACCCCATCGAACTAGTTCAATGTGTCCACCATAAATCCAACAGTTGGCCTATGGCCTATGGTTATATCATAAACAACTTTTGTATACTTTCGTAGATGTTTCTTGGTTGTAAGCTCATTAAATCTCAATTTTTGCCGCTTAAATCATGTTAAATCACCGTTTTCGGTGCTTCACTAGCACTCCAAGAAACTGGGGCAGCCCTTGGATGGATCGATACGTCAGGTCGCAAGCCTTGCTTCGAAGGGCTTTACGAAGGCCAGGGCGTTCAGCCTTTCGTGCTGAGATGGCCAGGCTGCTGGGTGCGGTGGATGGGCCAGCGAAATCCGACAAACCACCAATTTGGGATGGTTGAAACCCGACAAATACCCTCTGGTTATGTCAAAATAGCTATTGAAAATGACCATGAATAGTGGATTTTCCCATTAAATATGGTGATTTTCCATAGCTATGTTAAATTACCAGAGGGTAATGGGATAAACATCAACTGGTGCAGGATGTCGCTGGCCCATCCACAGTATGGCTTGGTACATCCCCAACACTCATGACTCCAGGGGGCAGCCTTTTTCGAGGATCTGAAACAAGACTTAAAGAGCTTGGAAGGTCTGGTGGTCAGTGGTTTGTTGCTTGGCGATGTCGGCGCCGCTGGTTGGTCATGAAAATTTTTGAGTGGGGGATGGACAGTGAAAAACGGGAATCCAAATCAACAAGATTAAGCAGATGGCTTTAATATGCTTTAATTTTGGGATTGTATCAAAAGATGTAGCAATACATGTAGGGGCTATGTCAGATGATATCATAAAAGTTCGTACATTGACTTTCAGCAATAGATGGACCCCTGAACTGCAAAGTGGAATGGCTTAGCTGGCTTAGCTTCACAGAGGCCCCAGGAGGGTGTTGACAGCTTCTTCATTTACAGACTTTTGGGTTAGTGACATGGCACTCTAAGCTCATTTTGAAGCTGCAACCCATTATCCGAATCAATTTGGGTGTTTCTTTAAATGCAGGCAGCCCTTTTCACCATTGGTTTCCCGGTATGTTTTCAAAGGTTAAAGTTTAAGTCGGATGATTTTGGGTTCCCCATTTTACGAATCCTCCATATTGGGTATTGTAGACTCTTGAGTTGGTAACCCAGCATGCCTATGCTCGTATCCGTACAATGTGGGGCTCAGCAGTTTGAAGTTGGTTTACGAACTACATCCAACGATATACATATTTCCCATCAACCATAGAAAACCTATAGTTATGTGCACCTTTTCGTGGGCAAAATGGTTGCTCATGAAATCCCACACTAATCCCAGCCTGGCGGTTTCCCAAGTCGTTACTGGGTACCCCAGTTATCATCCAGTAGTGGTGATGACTTGGTAACCCGTTTGGTGACTTTTTTCGGATCCACCATGACTATTTCGAACCACCCAGGCGGGGCAGCTCCAATGCTTGGCCCTCCAATGGCACGAACGTCACGGCTTCCGACTGGGAAAGTCCGGCCTTGAAAAAAGGAAGGCACCTTGGAGGAAAATGAGATGGTTCGAGCTACGCGCTAGTCAGTTGGATGTCTAAGTCACCAAGGAAAATTGATGAAAGTTCTTTGGTGAATTAGACATCCAACTTTACTTGGACATCCAGCTTGGTGAATTTGAGGTATTTGAGGGTTCCAGTATTGAGCCACCAAAATGGTGCAGCACTGTGCAGCAGGATGCCGTCGGGGTTATCCAACAGCGAGGAAGGCAACCCAGCCATTGAACACCGTGTTACCGCGCAGGTTGGTTTTAGAACTACAAAAAAACTGAGAATCACTGGGGCTTGCAGTGGATATATATGATTATCTGTAGCTGGATGAGACACAACATGGTGGCCTTTCTATGAGGGTGGTTGAACTCCCCATGTTTGTTGCCAAATGCAGAATTACCCGTCCAACAAGATCCATAAACAGCATCCCCACATACCATCAGTTCCTGACTTAATACACAGTCTCCCATCATTTTCCACTATTTGCATTATATTCATTATTCATCATTATTATTTAAATAAATATATAATTGTATATATATAATTATATATATAGTTAAAACTATATAATATAATATAATATAATATAAGATATATAATATAATACAATACATATAATATAATATAATATCATATAATATAACATAATATAATATAATATTAATATAATATAATATAATTTAATATAGTATAATATAATATAATAAAATATATATAGTACAACATATAATACAATATATAATAAATTTTATAATATAATAATATAAGATAATATAAGATATAATATAATATAATCTAATACAATATAATACAATACAATATAATATAATATGATATAAAATAATATAATATGATATAATATAATACAATATAATATAGTATAATTTAATTTAATATAAATTAATATATACAGTATATATATAATATAATATAATATATATAATATATATATATATATATCATTATACCATTGAGATTTTCACATCAACCCCTTCAGATCCTACCTTTCGTAGCCAGGCAGGGAGCAGCGCTGAAACCCTCAGCGGAAGCGTCCGACGCGTCCGACCCGCTGAACGCGTCCAACGAGCTGCCGGTCCCGGGACATCGGAAGGAAATCTTCGAAGAGCCGCGAAAGGTGCAGAAATGATGGGTTTGTTGGTTGGAAGAAAATGGGGATACAATTAGTGTATTGATGGTGATGTAATGGGCATATTATAATATATTATATATATACATATATTATTAATGTATAATATATATATATAATATATATATGTATATATGTATGGGGTTTATCAATCAACAGGGATTTACTGTGATTTCAAGCAAGGTATCATACTGTGTTTGGACAATAATCCTGCACCACTTTGTGACTGTTGGTACTTAATTAACTATGAAAAACTGCTATTATTATGGAGTTTATATATATATACATAATGGGAGGAAGCATATATATCTAACTGGTGCAGGATTTCTTTCACAGTATCATCCAGTAGGAGGATGATCAGAATCCAATAGGCTGGTGCCCTAGTGTGTGTTCGCTAAAGTGGTCGCTAACAGTGATGGGCTTTGGTTTGTAGATATACTGTAGATGCGTTTCAAATTTAGACAACCATAACTGAAAAGCACCACCTCGTGGTTAAATAAATGGGGATAACAAAATCTAGGGATATAATGGGTACAGGATGGGGCCCCCAAGATAGCCAAGTTGCCTTATAAGTGGTTTAACTATGGTTTATGTTAGATATAACTATTGTTAGTGGGGGTTATACTGGTATATAAACCAGCTTATACTGTAATAGGGGGGCCCCATCCTGTATCGTCATAGTACATAAATAGAAGGGATATGTCGACCCTGCGGATTGGGATCTGGTATATGTCATGTCGTAAGCATTCTGTTTCAAAATCTTTTCTGTGTTGGTGAAATCCGGTTTGGGGTCGAAGGTCACTCCCAAAATGGAAACTTGGTATTCGTAGACCAAGTAATTTGAAATTTAAATCTGAAAGGTCAAAATCTATGACACATCATATAAACATATCTATATTTAACCAATCTTAAACTACATGGCTTTACCAAAATCTATGATTTTTTGAAGACTCTGGTGATGTGTTCTACAGATTCTCGAGATGCCTGGAACGGGATTATTGGTTGGCTTTAGAACTTGGGTCTAGCACATCGCCAGGGTGTACCCTAAATGGCAATTTTTGACATAGCTAAGGAAACTCACCATTTTTATATAATGGGTAATTCAAGCATTTCGACTGGGCCATTTTCAATAGCAAACTGTTACCCTCTGGTAAGCTAACATTGCTATTGAAAATGGCCATAGAAATAGTGGATTTACCCATTAAAATGGTGATTTTCCATAGTTACGTTAGTTTACCAGAGGGTAGTTTACTAGAGGGTAGTTTACCAGAGGGTAACCTCAGATGGTCCCTGGCTTTGGGGCACTTTAGGACTACTCCATGGGTATCAACCACTACAAGCAGGGCTCGGGTTGCATCCCCATCTAGCTTTTGCTAAATCCTAGTCGGCCTAGTAAACCAACTTACATGGATTTTTGTTGGTTACATACAAATTGTATCCATTACATTCCATTATCCTATTTTTGGATTGTTAAACACTTACCCTTTGTTAAAACTTGGGGGTTCTTCCTTTCATTACTGCCCTATCATCATCAAATAAGCAACGTTCATTTCTCAATTCCAACCCCTGCAGCCAATTGTTGGTGAACTCGCCGACAAATTATGGTTAGCCCATCAAATGGTATTTAATAACAGCTGTCATAGTGCTGGTGATATATTTCCACTATATCCCACTATAATATATATATATATATACATACATATATATATATATAATATAATATCCCTGTATCCACCATTATTTCCCCATAAAATGTATACTATCATAACCTCTATGACCCTAAAATTTGCTGTTAGGGGAATCTCTGCTTAAATATGCAGCCTTCTTTTGATGGGAGAATTCCAAAGCCCAACCATTTGACCTGCACAGGTCATGGGAGTGGCTCTCAATGGAGATAGCGACGTTCAGACGCTGCATACCTCCCTTTTCGTGGGTGGCTTGGGGTCTGCAGGTGCCACCCTGGGTACACTCCGTGGATGGCTAGTTGGCCGCCTCGCTGAGAAATCCTTTTCAGGAAACGGATATATACTATGTATATATATATAATATATGCTGATGGAGCATACCCTCATAGCATTTTGCCAATTGTTTCATAGTCACATACATGTGCAGATATAACATGTGCTGCTGAACTGCAGCTGCTTTTTCTCAAGAGGCCTAAAGGCCAGCCCAGCTCAGACTTGAGCATCCAATCGCCGCGAAAAGGCGAGGCAGCTTGGTGCGAGGAGAGGCGAGATTTGGTGAGGAGAAGTGGAATAAGAAGGGGATAAAGAAATAGAAGAAGGGAAATAAAGGATTGGTAGTGGAAAAGCCTGGTGAGGATCCAGCCGGACCTCATCAGGTTATGAGCCCAAGAGGTTCCACCAACTCCCAAAGAAGCCAAAAATGATGTATGGCCGAAGAAAAGCCAGCAGAAAAGAACTAGAACAAGGTGAAAAAGAAATGAAGGAAGCCCATGAAAGGCTAGCCAAAGAAATGGAGGAATCAGGTGAGTTGCAGTTAGAAGATGGAGGAAAAGAGGCCGAAGGTTTCGAATCCCCCCAAGTGTCCCAGAGGGATATAGCGAAGGGAAGTGAGGAGATGCCTAAAGGAACCCCAAAGACCTTTGTCCCTGCACTGCCTGAGTCCGCACCATCTCAGGAAATTTCCGCCACTCAGGAACCCGCCGAAAGACTTGAGGCAAAAGCTGAAGTGAGACCTGAGGTGAAAAGTCCAAGATCTTCGACTAAGGGAAGAATGAGTCCTGAAGTCAAAGAGCCTGCTGCCATTGAGGACAGACCCAGTGGTACCAAGGTAAGTTTGCAGGGCGCTTCAAATGGCCCTACACCACAACATGCGCTGATTGGTCGTTCCCCTGAGGCCGATGCAGTGATCTCTCCAGCACAACCACTTTTTGATGATCAACAATTGAGGCGATTCCAGGAGTTGTATGCGCAAGCTCCTTGGCTTTACCCTCAAGGAGGTCAGATACCGATACCTCCACCACCATTTCAACATCCAGTTGCTCGACCGCTGTTTCTTGAGCAAGATGAAAGAAGGCTTCAAGGTACTGCAGGTATGGTAGACCAAACGCCATTTGTCTATCCGTACATGCCCTCAGTTGGTCCTCAAGAAAGCATGGAGTTGAAAAAGGAATTGAAAGAATTGATAGATGAAAATAGGAGGTTGAGAGATCGTGTAGAAGTTTTGGAAAAGGGAAGTGAAGACCCGAAGTTTTCAACGCCTGAAGGGAACACCAAGGAGGCTGAGACCACCAAAGGTAAGGAGGCTGAGACCACCAGTAAGGAGGCTGAGACCACCAGAAAGGAGGCTGAGACCACCAAAAAGGAGGCTGAGACCACCAAAGGAAAGGCTGAGACCACCAAAAAGGAGGCTGATAGACAACCAAAAGAAAATGAAGATAGCAGTACGGTGCTCGTGATGCTCAAACTCATGGAAGGCATGCAAGCTCTTCAGAAACAAATGATGCATGGAAGGGATGACGAAGAAACATCCGAAGCAGTTCGCCAAGCACCTGCACTTCCAGCTCTCGCAGAATGGTCTTCGACGTCAGGACCTATAGACTTCAACGACTGGATGGCGCTCATTGAGCCAATGATGAGTGACCTGTCCAACTCTTCAAGTCAATGGTGGCAACTACTGGTTCAAGAAGCGCAGCAATGGTATGAGAGGCATATGCAGCTTCCACCACTTGAGCGAGTTGCACACCTACCAAAACCATCCTCAGACTTGGCCAAGCAACGATGGGCCAGGCTCGAGAGGAGAGCATCAACTTTGCTGCTGATGGCCGTGCCAGAACCTCAAAGAGAAGAACTCATCTCATCAAAGAGGCTGACTGCACTCTCCATCATATGTCAACTTCTGGTGATTTATCAACCTGGAGGTTTAGCAGAAAAAGAGCTGATCCTACGATCTCTTGAACAACCACCGGAATCAGCCAATCTCAGCGAAGCAGTCCAAAATTTGAGAAAGTGGTCCAGGTGGCGAAGAAGAGCTGCTGATTTGAGGATCTCAGAACCAGATCCTTTCCTGTTGCTGAAAGGCCTCAACAGGATCATCCGCAAGCCACTGGAGCAGAATCGAGATTTGAGTTTTCGAATCAGCCTTGCCAGGTCCACGCTTCAGGTGGATTCAACACCAACTTCAAGTTCGGTGGCTTCCTTTGCCTTGCACTTGATCGCTGAATTTGAGCAGGTCGTCCATCAAGAAGCGACCAATGCCCCAAAGAAAAAGGTTGAGGAGAAGCCGAAAGCTGCGAAACTGAAAAAGCTTGAGGAGGAAAAGTCCCCCACAAAGAAGGAGGACGCAAGAGAAGAAAGAGGAAAATGCAAGTTCTACCTGAGTGACACTGGCTGCCGCCGTGGAAAAAGCTGCCAGTGGTCGCACGACCAAAAAGACGAAAAAAGGAGATGCTGGACTTGCGGTAGTCCAGAACACATGGCTCCGTCTTGCACAAGACCAAAAGGGCCTGGCGACACCTCTCCTACAAGGTTGAAGGCACAAAGAGCTGAGGGGGAGGAGTCATCGCCATCAAGTTCAAAAGGGAAAGAAGAAGAAGGAAGTCAGGAACAACAAGCATCAATGAAAGATCTACTTGAACAAGCCAACAAGATGCTGAAAAACCTGACCTCCGCAACAACGACCTCATCTACAACATCTTCGGCAGGAAGTGAAGCCAGGGATGAAATTGTGGACAGGTTGCAACAGCAACTTGACTCTCTCAAACTGAAGGTCTTCAAGCTCAGCAAGGTGTCCTATGGCAACTCTCAAGGGCTGGTGGATTCAGGTGCAACACATGCCTTGCGTCCAATAAGGCAGGGTGAGTCGCTGGATTCATACAAAACAGTGCCGGTGACGTTGGCCAACGGGCAGTCCACACAGCTGCACATGACACCTGGAGGAGTGATGGTTTCAAAGAGGCCAGACATCGAGCCAATCATACCAATGGGTTTGCTCATCCAACGATTGGGGTGCAAGATCGATTGGGGTGACGGAGGTGTTTTTCTCCATCATCCAAAGCGCGGCACTTTGCCGATCCAACTCAATAGTGGATGTCCTCAACTGTCACGACCTCTGACCTTAGACCTGATTGAGGAGTTGGAAAAAACAGTTGTTTTGGGGAAGTTAGAAGAAAGAAGTTTCAAGGAGGAAGTGGAATGGATGCGAAAATTGGTAGAAGTTCATCCAGTTCTTCGAAAGCTTCCTGAACATATCAAAACGAAGCTGGCAGTGCAGCCAGGTTCATGGTCTGAACTTCCTGCAAACCGCAGGACCCGAAAGCGACTTCAACGTGATGGTTTCATCGCCCATTTGTTTGCCGGAGAAGACGCAGGCTTCACACTGGCTCGAGCGTGGCATCAACAAGGTGGGGATAGCCATTCACTCCTGGAGATTGACATCAAAAGAGGCCCAAACCACGACCTTTTGCAAGATGTGGGGTCGTACCCGGCTCTGATGAGAGCTGCCTTGGAAGGAAAACTTTTGGCTGTGGTCGGAGGTCCAAACTGCAGGAGCCGAAGTGTTTTGAGGCACTATCCGATCCCAGACCAGCCAAATTGTCCGCGTCCACTACGAGAATGGGGAGGTGGTGAATTTGGAAAAGAAGGGTTGACTGAAGCTGAAACCGCAATCCTTCACGAAGATGATCTACTGCTATGGAGAATGATTTTCCTGGCCATGGTTTCCAACTACATGAAAGAAGCTCGCGGAGATTCCACTCAGATTGCCTTTGCGATGGAGCAGCCGGCATCACCAAAAGACTATATGCCGGAAACCGTCTCATTTTGGGATACAAAAGAATGGGATGCGCTCAAAAAGGAATTTGCTTGGGAAGAAACGACCTTTCAACAAGGAGCCATGGGAGGAGTAGCCACAAAACCCACAACTTTTGGTGGAAACCTGAACCTCGAGATTAACAAGCACAAGAAGTTCAAAGAAGGAAAAGAAAAGGGGGAGATCAAAACGTCAAAAGATCTCGCTCGCTGGGCACCTGGTGTGATGTCCATGGTTGCCGAAGCATTGATGTTGCAGGTCATGCAGCAACATCCAAAACTTCGTCTACTGAGCTGGGATGAGCACATAGCTCATGGCCATACGCCGTACAGGCGAGACTGTGCAGTGTGCCAACAAACCATGCAGCAGTGCAACCCACATCGAAAGGTACCATATCCAGTTGGAGGAGTTTTGTCTGTGGATGTTGCAGGGCCTCTCATCCCTGCCAAAGACATTGGAGGACTCTACACAAGATGGATGCTTGTGGGCACCTTGACATGGGCTGTGCCTGCAGAGTCCGACAAGCTCAAAGTACCAGAAGTTCCTGATGCAGAAGGCGATGAACCTCAAATCGACATCAACCCTGAAGAATCAAATGAAGGTAAAGAAGAAGAAAAAGCTTTGAAAGATAAGGAGGGTGAAGAAGGTAAGGAAGAAGGCGATGAAGCACAGGTGAGAGTTTGGGAAGAGGAGGAAGAGGAAAAAGGTGAGAAGGAAGGGGAAAAAGATCCAGCGCTTCCAGGGGGAGGTCTTCCTCCACCACCATACCTTTTGCCTCCCCCTGAGAAGAAAGAAGGGGACCCAGATCCTCAGCCTGGTGGCTTCGACATCAAGATCTTCCGCCTTGCCGCTCCGATGCAAACCAAGACTTCAAAACAGGTCACAAAGACCACAATGGAGTTTCTGCTGAAGCTCAAAATGGATGGGTTCCATGTTGGAAGGATCCATTCTGATCGAGGACACGAATTCTCAGGTCCATTTCGAAAGTGGGCATTGGATCGTGGCATCATGCTCACGAGGACCCCAGGAGATGACCCAAGGGCCAACGGTCGGGTCGAAGTAGCAGTGAAAAGTTTCAAGACGCATATACGTCGGCTACTCAAGCAAGCTGAAGTTGGAAGCGAAATGTGGCCCCTTGCAGCTCGCTATGCTGACGCTCTCAACAGAAGTTGGAGAATTGGAGATGCTCCAGCTTTTCCGCCCTTTCTGCAGGAGATATTGGTGCGACGACGCACTTGGCGCCGTGGGGTCTTCGAACCAACTGTGGAGAAGGTCAAATACTTGTTCCCAGCGCCTGAAGAACATGGTCATTGGGTGCAACCGGCTGATGAGCGACCAAGGGTCACAAAGTATGTCATGAGGAAGGCTACAGAACCCATCACCAACCAGAAGTGGGTTGCTATCGAGAAAGAGGTTGCGGATGCCCTGACAACAAGAAGGCGTTTGAGGGAGAAAACAACAGTGAGAAAAATGGAATTTGAAGAGAAAAAGACAGAAGAAAGTCAAAAAGAAGATGAAGAAAAGTTTCAAAAGCTGAAGTTGAGATTGAGCCGAATCATTGAAGAAGAGATGAAGCTCATGGTTGAAGACCACCCAGAACTTGCGAAGGACGAGCTGGCGTGGATTGCAAAAATGAAGAAAATGATGGAGGAGCCTACAGAGGAGGACGAAATCCTTCAAACAAAGGTGATTTCATCAAGGGAGGTTGCCCAACACTGGAACGAATGGCTGTTTGCCATCAATGAAGAAGTTCAAAGTCTGTTAGAAGAAAAGCAGGCGATGAAGAAGGTCACAAAGAAAGAATTGGAGGAGCTACAAAAGAAAGCTTCAGCCGAAGGTCGAAGCGTGGAGATCATCCCGTCAAAACTGGTCTTCACTGTGAAAGCAGGCCCAAATGGAGGAAAGAAAAAGACCCGATGGGTTATCTGCGGAAACTATGAGACCAAGAAGGACTCTGAGCAGACCTTTTCAAGCGGTGCAGACTCAGCTGCATTCAGAATTGCAGTATGGGCAGCTGCCCGTCACCAATGGTTAGCTACTGTTTTGGACATCAAAACGGCCTTCCTGAATGCTGCGATGGAACAAGGAGATCAAGAAGACATCTTGGTTGTCAGGCCACCTGCGCTCTTCACTGAAAAGGGTTACATGGCCAAGGACGTCTTTTTCCTGCCAACGAAGGCTGTCTATGGTCTACGAAGATCGCCGCGCCTTGGGGGAAACTGCCGTGATGAAACAATGGAAGATTTTGAAGTTCAAGCTGAAGTGGAAGAAAAGAAGGAGAGGAGTTTTCACCTTCTACCTCTTCAAGCAGAACCAAATCTTTGGAGGGTGTTGGAAAAGGGAGATGAGACACAAAAGCTATGGGGTCTCGTGATGACCTACGTGGATGACATCTTCATCTGCTCTTCTTCCACCGTCCTCGAAGCCCTCAAAAGAAAGTTTCAGGAGACTTGGAAGACATCCAAGCCAGAAGACGTTTCTGGAGAGCCAATTCGCTTTCTGGGAATGGAAGTTTCAAAAAGAACTGAAGAAGAAGGAGGAAAAGAAGTATGGTATGTGACCCAGAAGTCATATATCAAAGATCTGGTTGAAAAGAGCGAAGAAAAAGTGAAGGAAAGAAAAATTCCAATCACTCGTGATCAAGCTCACATCGAAGAGCCAAGCTCACCTCCAACAGTTGACCAAGTACGGGGAGCTCAAAAGTGCGTTGGAGAAGTTCTTTGGCTTCTCACCAGGTCACGCCCAGACCTCATGTATGGCGTGAGCAGAATGGGTTCCAACGTCCTCAGAAACCCTGTCAAGGTCATGGAGCTGGGAGAACAGATGAAAGGGTATCTAAAAAGAACAGCAGAAGAAGGGCTCCGATACCAAGTGGAGTTCCGTGAAGAAATCAACCTGCAGGCATTTTCTGATGCCTCATTTTCCCCAGAAGGAGCTGAAAGCCATGGAAGCTTCCTGATCCTGCTGGAAGGATCACCAATCTTCTGGCGTGCAGGCCGACAGTCAATGGTGACACTGTCGACAGCCGAGTCAGAAATGACAGAAGTCATTGAAGCCATGACAGCCGGAGAGTTGGTCGCTGTCATCATCCAAGAGCTCTACCCTTTGGTCACCAAGACCGCCTACACTGACAGCCAGGCGGCCGAAGCCATTCTCACCTGCGATGGTGGCAGCTGGAGAACCAGGCATTTGCGCCTGCGCTCGGCATTTGCCCGCCAATCAATTGCCAAGGGTGAATGGGCACTTCAACATGTGCCAGGTGATCAAATGCTGGCAGATCTTGGAACCAAAGCACTACATGCGCCAAGACTCGAAAAGCTGAAAGAGCTCATGAGCATGGGCACCATAAAAGAAGAAGAAAAGGAGGATGAAGTTGAAGAAAGAAAAGATGAGGAGAAAAAGGAAAAAGATATGAAAAATTGGGCAGAAGCGGCCCAAGCAGTCAGACTGATCACAATGGCTGCTGCGATCTCAACGGCGAAAGCAGTTGAAGAAGAGGAGAAAAAAGATGGAGAAGGCTTCACTTTTGAAAGGATGGTCGTTTGCTACACCGTCTTCGTGGTGTTGGCCACGCTTCTTGCCAAGCGGATCTGGAAGGTAGGAGTACATCTTGTGAAAAGTCTCACCAAAAGGCGAACTGGTCTTCGAGGTGGAAGTCTCCCTGGAAAAGCTGCGCGAGAAGAAAAGAAAGATGGAAAGAGAGGAGGAAAGACTATGGAAGGTAGTTTAATTTCCAGCCATGGCGAGCGTTCCACTCCTGGTGCATCTTCATCCACCTCTATGTCTTCATTTGCTGCTCCGCTGCCAAAAGTGATGCCAGTACAAAAAGGGGCTCCGCGACCAAAAGGGGTTCCAAAAGTGAAAAGTTTACCAAAAAGGGGTCATCAATCAAGCGAGATCCCGACACCAAGGGTTCAACAGCCAAAAGCCTCATCATCAAGCCACATGCCCACCGTGGGGGAGGACATTTTTGGAAGTTGGGATGAAATTGAAAGAGAAGAACGATTGATTCAAGCCGAGCTGAATGCTGCACAACCTGGAGACGCCATTTTGGGTCCAATTGACCAGCTGCCGGACGATGAATTTCCAGAACTGCCGTTCAAGGTTTTTACCACAAGGTATGGAGAAGTTTATCATTTGAGCCGCCGCTGCCGTCATTTGACCTCAACGAATTCTGGAATTTCAACGGAATCAAGATGGTGCAGTAGATGCAGACGCTCAGCATATCAATCTGGTTCAGTTCCAAGAGCAGGCGATGTTTTGTATCTGAAAGGAACTGGACGTGACGCCCACTCCATTATGAGATGTCCTGCTGCTCTGGGTGCCAACCATTACCAAATTTGCACGGCATGTTTTGACCAGCCAACAGAAGCAGCTTGAGCTGATCAAGATGTCCTGCTGCTCTGGGTGCCAACCATTACCAAATTTGCACGGCATGTTTTGACCAGCCAACAGAAGCAGCTTGAGCTGATCAAGAACGATAGGGGGTGAAATCACCTATCGGAAATTTCAAGGGGGAGTGCTGATGGAGCATACCCTCATAGCATTTTGCCAATTGTTTCATAGTCACATACATGTGCAGATATAACATGTGCTGCTGAACTGCAGCTGCTTTTTCTCAAGAGGCCTAAAGGCCAGCCCAGCTCAGACTTGAGCATCCAATCGCCGCGAAAAGGCGAGGCAGCTTGGTGCGAGGAGAGGCGAGATTTGGTGAGGAGAAGTGGAATAAGAAGGGGATAAAGAAATAGAAGAAGGGAAATAAAGGATTGGTAGTGGAAAAGCCTGGTGAGGATCCAGCCGGACCTCATCAATATAGATATATACTATGTATATATATATAATATATAATATATATATAATATATATATATACACATGTGTATCTATATAATACATATAATAAACTACTAACATGCCAAAAAAGAGGAAAAAACAAAATGGGCCTCTCGGATTTGCCACGAAATGAAGGGAGAAGACTTAGCAAAGAAACCTGAAAGACTGGGATCCAAACAGGACAAAGCAATTCCAAAACACTGATGGTATTCATGGGGCTATGCTTCGGCCTTTGGGGCAGAGTTCCACTAAGAACAACACTGATTAAATTAAAAGGTACTGTATATGGCTACAATTATGTCATGATTATATATATATACATACATAGGGATTATATCACAACTATCAACGGATTGGATTAAGGGAAAATCTTGATCGGAAGCCATTTTTTTACTTCCAAGTATTTGCAGGTTTCCTGCATTTGTCCCTTCAACCAGTTCTCCAAAACTTATGATGGATCTTCCCACGATTCTACTCTGCTTATACCCAAGAGTACATGAATGTGTATATGGTAGTATCTAGCCATAATATGCCAGAATCATAGGGGTTATATCCCATCTTACCCTCTGGTAATTTAACATAGCTATTGAAAATGACAATTTTTATTGGATTTTCCCATTGAAAATGGTGATTTTCAATAGCTATGTTAAATTACCAGAGGGTATCGAAGATTTTCTCATCATTTTCTACCCACAAAATATCATACAGCACCAAGTCATCACGTCCTGAGTCCGGGAGGCGTCTTCCTTGTCTTCGCAATACTTCACGTGGCGGTGCCGCAGGTATATCACCGAAGGAGGACCACTAGCGGCTTGGTTCTTGAGAAACTTGGAAAACACCCATGAATTTTTATGATGAGTTATATGTATGTGATTGTAACATCTGCAAATTCCAGAATATATATATATATATGTGATGTTTGATACTTGTTGATTGATTCCCATCATTGGATCAAACAAAACATTCTTTTCAGCAATGAACAGAAAAAATGTCGTCAGATCAGTGTCACCATTTTTTGATTCCCATATGATGATCATGATGGCGACCCAAATGGGATGCCGATGGCGCAGGATCTATGAAAAATCAAAAGATAGAACAGTCAGTTGTAGTATTTTTCCAAAAAAGCTCGAATAGTAGAATCCAAATTAGAATAGTCATGATTTACTATTTCAGATTCGTTTTTTTCAAACCAACGCTCTGTCCTTTTGGGCGTAGGCATCAAAAAAAAAATGCATCAAAAAAAAATGCATCAAAAAAAAATAAAAATGCATCAAAAAAAATAAAGGACGAAAGGAAGGAAGAAAGGAAGAAAGGAAGAAAGGAAGAAAGGAAGAAAGGAAGGAAGGAAGGAAGCAAGGAAAGAAAGGAAGAAAAGAAGAAAGACAGGAAGGAAAGAAGGAAGGAAGGAAGACAGAAAGGAAGGAAGGAAGAAAGGAAGAAAGGAAGGAAGAAAGGAAGGAAGAAAGGAAGAAAGAAAGGAAGAAAGGAAGGAAGGAAGCAAGGAAAGAAAGGAAGAAAAGAAGAAAGACAGGAAGGAAAGAAGGAAGGAAGGAAGACAGAAAGGAAGGAAGGAAGAAAGGAAGAAAGGAAGGAAGAAAGGAAGGAAGAAAGGAAGAAAGAAAGGAAGAAAGGAAGGAAGGAAGCAAGGAAAGAAAGGAAAGAAAGGAAGAAAAGAAGAAAGACAGGAAGAGGAAGGAAAGAAGACAGGAAGGAAGACGGAAAGGAAGGAAGGAAGAAAGGAAGAAAGGAAGGAAGAAAGGAAGGAAACAAGAAAGGAAGGAAACAAGAAAGGAAGGAAACAAGAAAGGAAGAAAGAAAAAGGAACCAAAGAAGAAAGGAAGGAAGAAAGAAAAGAAGGAAGAAAGGACGGAGACGAGAAAGGAAGGAAACAAGACAGGAAAGAAATAATGATGTAATATTACATGCAGAAGAGATCATTCAAATTACATGCAGGCATCACCGTAGCAGTTGCGTACTGTTATTTATGTATATGTATATATACATATATATATATATATGCATTTATATACACACTTATATATTTATATTTAAATATATTTATATTATTTATATTTTCTGTTTATATTTTTATATACATAGTATTTCTATTCATGTTCAAATTCAAATATATATATATATACTTACATATAGAAATATGTAAATATATACATATACTTATATTTATGCATGTATATATACACTTTTATATTTATATATATTTCTGTATTTATATTTATATATTTATATTTACATATTAATATATATATATATTTATGTACTTATATATATATACACATTCATATGTCTATACATATAACTGTATATATATATATAAATGAGTATGTATCTACAAGTATATATACTGTATTCCACATGTTTCCAGGGTGCATGTCGTGTAGTCTATACACCTTGAGTATCACATTCAAGCCAGCACCTTGCATGTGAAAATAGGTGTTTCCAATCTGCTTTGGGGGGGAGGCGCTGCGCCCTTGTTTTTGTTTCGACCTAATACCTACATAGGTACATGCATGAGTATTGAGCACATTTATATGCGCCTTCAAGGCTCAAGAAAGAGGTATATAGAGTAACCCTGTAGACAAGCACTGACCGGCAACAGGCTGAGAGTAAAAGAGTGCTGTCATTGGGGAAGACGCCTTAGCTGATCTTGAAGTAGACGCTAGGGCCCCTCTTCAAGTGGTAGCGGAGCAGTGATCCCTCATTGAGGGTGAGCTCCAGGTAGAGCCCAAGAAATGGCAAGCCATGGCTATGATGAAGATGACTTCGACATTGTCGATGCAAATGAATGGAACCAATATGACTCTTATGCAATGAGAAGAGCACCCCAGCATACACAGATTCATATGACGCAACAGATGACCACAAAGGTTGCTCCAGCCTATGATGGGCGAACCAGCTTCTTTGCTTTTGAGGATGCAATTGATGACTGGTGTGACATTACGGAGTTAGAACCAGAGAAACGTGGTCCAGCATTGCGCAACAGACTGGAAGGAGATGCTCAACAATACAAGAGGCTATTGAATAGAGAATTACTCAGGGATCCCTACGAAGGAGTGGCTTATTTCAAAAGATTTCTACGACCTCATTTCATTAAAGGTGCCCAGAACGTGTTCTTATACCGTTTCATGCAGTTCATGAAGTTCAACAGAGGAACCATGGATCTTCAGAAGTGGATGACTAGATTTCAACTCACTGGAAATAGACTTATTGAGTCTTGGATGGATTTACTTCCAGAAGTAACAGTGACTAGTCCTGAAGCAATTCTGTTTGTTCAACAACGACGTCAAGAACATGAACGAGATCAACAAGAGAGAGCTGAAGTAGCAGCAGCCTCAGGAACACCCCATGTAGCTGTTCCTTGGACAGATGAACTGGCACTAGCGGCATTCAGACAATTTCAGGAAAATCGTAGAGAAGCACAGCGACAAGCATTCCCACTGGGTGAAAATTTGCTAGCATTGATTTTTGTAAGTCTAGCTGACCTGAGTCAAGATCAGAGAAACACGCTCACAAGTATCATGACACATCGTGGACGAACCCTCGATCGATACAACATTCAAGAACTACGTGACCTGTTTTTGGAAATGTTTTGCACTACCAAAACAGCAGTTGACAATCCATTGATGCAACCCTCTGGCATGGCACAGAGAAGATCTTTCCTCGTACTGGATGAAGGTGAATTAGAAGGAACCGACGGCTATTGGGCCGAAGATGAAGAAGACGGCGCAGAAGGATTCCTGGATGCCTTAGAAGATGTTTTCTGGGTTTATGATGACGCCAACTTCACATGGTATCAGAGAAGGTTCCAAGGCAAATACATCAGACGAGGCAAAGGTAAGGGAAAGAGAAAAGGAAAAGGAAAAGGCAGAGGAGGACGAAGGTTCTTCAAATCAAGAAAAGGAAAAGGCCGAGGAAAAGGAAGAAGAAAAGGCCGTGCTCACATGGTGAGTGAAGAAGGTTATGAAGATGAATGGCAAGAAGATGAATGGAATGAAAACTATGACGGCTATTGGGCCGATGATCAAACCTGGAATGAAGGCTATTGGGCCTATGATGATCTGTACTACATGGATGAGTATGGATACTTCCAGAAGAAAGGAAAAGGAAAAGGAAAAGGAAAGAAAGGCAAGGATGATGATGGAAAAGGAGGAAAGCCAGGAGATGGAAAAGGCAAGTCGAACTATGTTCAACCTCAGACCACATCAGCTCCTGCCATACAGAATCAACCAACTCAACAAGCTCATTATTCTTCTGCAGCTTCAAGTTCTGGTCATGGTTTCTTTTCATTTGGAACAACTGAACCAGCACGTGTTGATGTTGCAGAGACAGAGCCAGCACGTGTTGATGTTTTGACATCCACGTATTCAGCACAAGATGAACAACGACGCACTCGTCGTGGAGGACAGAACCAACGTGATGCAAGAGCACATCAAAACAGGAGAGAAATGAAGAGATTCCCTGTTCTGGTTGGAGAAGTTGGTGCACTACGACAAGGTGTACAACAACGTCCAGCTGTAGTGCCCAGGCAAGTTGGTCTTCAAGAAGGTGAGGCTTCATGGAAGCCATTGGCAGAAGGCACATCATTGTTTTCACATGGATGCTCTACAGAGATAGAGGAACCATCACAGCAGAGTGCTTTTTCATTTCATACTGTACAAACTGATCTGGCATGTGAGAATGGACTAGCTTTTCACACAGAGAATTCTGCACCACCAACTGTGTGTATTCTGGATCTTGGATGCACAAGAGCTATGGGCTCTCGACGAGCAGTTGAAGCATTTTGCAGATATGTTGACTCACATCCCAACAGTGGACTCTGGTATGAAATTCAGCCAACAAGTTCAAGATTCTTCTTTGCAAACTCACAACAATCAAAATGTACTGAGAAGCTCGTGATATTCATGTATGATCATGGATGGAACACTCAGTTTACAGAATTCGACATTGTCGAAGAAGGTGATGTCCCATTGTTGATGTCACTTCCACAGATGAGAAACCTTGGATTTCAATTTGAACTTACTCCAGAGAAGGCTTATTTGTCCTGTGCACGTATTGGCATGAGAAAAATGGTTTTGAGGACAGCCATTAGTACTCATCTCATTCTCGACCTACAAGATGTAGCATGGTACATGAGCCAAGTTCATTTCAAGACTCCTCAAGTCAAAAGTTTCTATTCACAACACGATCACTTTGAGTACAGCCAGATTGCTGTCAAACAAGATGATCATGAAGGAGAAGCTTTGGTGACTGGTGACTACTGGCAGGTTGATCCACTACGTCGTGAACTCATCAGGCACCACAAGGACAAGAGAATGAACTTACATGAGATGACTCGATCAGAGAAAACTCCAATTCCAAAAGATCAACTTTTTGATGAGAGAGAAACCCACATGGAATTCCAGAAGAGCAAGAAGAAGGTTCTTCACAAGGACAACTGGCACACTGAGAAGAAGAGGTTTTCTGAACAGAGTGAAGAGTTCTGGAAGGGCAAGACCATCTACAAGATCAAGGAGGACTACGTGATCCCAGATGACATTGTCAGAAGTGACATTGATCGTGCAAAGCCCTTTCGTGGAAACATTGATGATCTTTTTCACCCTGAGTCAGCCTCTTCAGCGCCATCAGGTGTACAGAAGAAGAAGCCAAGCTCCTTAAAGAAGGAGGAAGGCAAACCGATTTCAAATGGACCAGGCTCGAAAAAGATTGAGGTAGGTCCACCTGCAGCCAAAAGACACGTAGGTAAGCAGAAACCTCAGGTTGTCGATGACTCTCAATCAGGTTCATCAAGA